ATCTAAAAGATTTTATCTAGTATCGCTCCCTGTCGTCTAGTTCGCTAGAACCGTGAAACGCCACTATTGATCCTCTTAAAGCACTCTTAAAGCTGACACTTTGAAATCTGCACTTTCGCACATGCCTTAAGTAGTAACGATCTTAAAATATAACGATGCATATCCTTAAGAAGCTAAGAATTTCTTATACGCTTTAATGAGCTAAAATTTAGCTGGAAAGTTTGAAAAGTTTTGGTATCTTCCACTCTCAATGCACACATCTCCCAAACTAAATGAAAATTTTAAAAAGAGGACACTTTCGGTATTCAGTCTATCCATCTCAATACATCGTATCAATTTCTTACAAATAAACAAAATTTGTCATACATGAGATAAGATTAAAATAACTTTGCAGATTTATATTCTTCAATTATATTTTGAAAGGTTTTATGCATTAATACAATCGTAATTCGTTAACTGTTGCTCTATGCGCGTATCTTCTTGCATTTTATGTCCGCGAGTTTGGGAGACTGAGATCTCGAAAGTAGACGTACTCAACTTTTCAAGACAAAGTGGCTTACTATTTTAATGTAATGTAGTGAGACATATAGATTTTTACAAGGTACTATAATTATATTATAATTTGTGTGTGTGTGTGTGATTGATGTATAAATATAAATTATCGCAAGACACGATCATGTTTCGATAAGGTGGAACTAGATCCTCCAACAGCAAGGCGGACCATGTATCTACAGGAGGCCCATTCAATATCGTCATCGAGTATCTCATTTATCTTACATTAAACTTTGCATCTTGTAATTTGGCGCTACGATTCTTTTCTAGACGTTAACTTCTTTCTCTCACTTCGGCCCCAATGTTGCCTCCAAGTTTTTTATATACTTCAGTTTGGCATACACAAAGAATGCAAATATAATAACCGTTACAAATAGCGAATTCTCTAGCAAATCTGAAGTTGGCTTTTCCTTGACCAAAGGCTTTCGCTAAGGCTTACAGAGTTTTATGAACTTTGAAAACTAAAAACTTACAACAAATCAAACTACAAAAGCATAAATGAATAATAAAAAATCTTTCTTATGTTTGGCAGAGCAATTGAAAACATCGAGTTATAAAATATTGGCCTCCTAATACAATATCCGTTAAAAAAATGAACCTTATATTCGTCGATCTGTTTTTAAGAAAAAAAAATTATGACACACCTTGCACAATAATATGTTCTTATTTCATTAATCTCGCATTTTACTATAAAATGTATCATTTATATTGCCGAGAAAAGGAGATCATCTACAGAATAAATTACCGTAATATATTTACAAATGAAAGGGACTAGTCTTCTAGTCCTGTGTCTATATTCTGTACACATCTACCGACAGTTGTCGGTAGACGTGTACAAAATATGGGCTCTGTTTTTGTTCAGATGCAAGAAAATATCGAGCGGGTGTTCTCGCTCACGCAAAAACGCGAAGAGACAAAAACACAGAAATACATACATACATGAAGAATGTTATAGAAAAAGAGTGCGTTAATAATGTCTAGTATACCTGCGCTTGTGTTGCAATACGTTCCTTTTCGTTCTCTATAGACGAAACAATATATCAATTAATTAAACGGATATAAATACGTGTCAAAAGTTAAATGAAACGCCGATATAAAGTGATGGACGTATTACTTCGAACGCTGTAATGCAGGTTTGTCCATTGGTTATTAACGCATTCGACTAAAACTTCGAGACAATTAATTCTTGCGACAGACTCAGTCTCGTTTTGGTATTCATTGGAATATTATCGATAATATTACCGCGATTAACTTATTCTTTCATGATTTGTCTTAAAATCTAATTCCCCCGTAAATGGCCTTATAATCTGTCTATTCCGTCATATCACTTAATTACAGTTACGTAAGATGACAAACCATAAATATATTACGTTGGCATTTCATTCGCGTATAAGATACATTTTCAACAATGCGAATAATAAGCTTTTCTTTTTTTTTTTTAGGTTTTACTTTTCTCCTTATTTCTATATGAAACATATGTTGCTTTACCCGGCTAATCAGTTCTCCTGACTACGCTCTCCCAACTATGCCTACGACCTCCAAACAGATTTTTTAGACAATAAAAGCCCATTATTATAGATTTCTTATACGGCGCTGATGCTCGCATTTGAGTGCGCCGGAAAGAAAATCTTTAATTTTCCGTCCTTTACTTTAACAACTAGAATAAATATTACTAATTTAGATCAAAGGGATCCTCTCTTTCCATACTTTCCGATATAATGCTAACATTCCTTGTAAACCTAACATTAGAATCATTAATAGTCAAAAATAGCACTTCCGCTTTTTTGTCCAATCGACGGTTTGGAAAAAATTTTCCAAGCATATTCTCTCTTCAAGTATTGTTGTATTGTTAATACTGATTTACAAATGTGGATCATGACTGACTGATTGTAGGAATTCGATTCTTACGCGAGCGCTCACATAATTATAGTAAAGAGATCTTGATATATTAATGATTCTAATAATACACAATACTTTAACGCGACAATTGATACATAATTATATGTCTATATTAATATATACGATTTCTATTCATATATTAATAGAATAAGAATTCTATTAATATACGATCCTAACCACATACAGGTTGGATTATAGATTAAAAGTTGCTTTTTCAAGGCTATTATTGATTATATTGTGTATCCAAAGGCTGCAGAATGAGATTATGTTGCTTTCACCATAAGGCTTGGAGTAGGGAGTTATGTTGCTTTCAAGGCTTATTTAATATTACTAGAATTATTGTGCCAACAAACGACATAGATTTGCACAAGAGTCGCGATTATTACAGTAAAAATACAAAACTTCTAAAGTTTGGCATTATCAAGCAAAAACAATTACTTTTTTTAAAACTAATAAAAAAATCTTACTCTTATAATACTCCTAAAACTAATTTTACACGTTACTTCACTGCTGAAGCATAATTAATGCTATAATTGAATAAGCTTTGAGGTTTGTATAATTTCGTATTATATCGACGTTCGAATAATTTCGTATTATATAGACATGTTCGATTTATTTTTATCTCGTATCTTCACATGCTCTAATGAGACATTGTCCTGTATCTAACGCCACATGAATTCGACTTGCTCATAGCCTTTTATTTAATTGTAAGTAGATAACATCCCGGCTTATTTCGGACACCAGACACGGGCATCCATTTACTTTCATCCCCGGCATTTTCGTGTGACGTATTTAACACAGATCTTTTTTTTCTTAATAGACTTTCAACTATTATGATCATCACGGTTTTTTAAAGGGAGAGCATTTAACACAGATAAAGTTGCTTTATGGGATAAAGTTGTATCCTAGTTTATCGATTCATTAATTAGTAGTAAGCATAAATTATGAGCTGTGCAACGTGCAGACAATAACGGTCTAATGAGAAATTAAAATGAAACGAATCAAATGTACATCCTAAAGATTAGCAACAGTAAAATAACGATTATTAATTTAATTACTTACACTAAATTTGGATCCTAAAGCTTAGTGTCTATCTGAGAGTCATTCTCAGAATTGAAGAATAATATAAGAATAAGTAAATTCTTCAGTATTTTTCTATGATACGTCATATTGCTTAGTCAAAGCATGCGATTCTTAACAGTATTTCTCTCAAATGGACACTAGCCATTATTAAACCACGTATAGAAGTCATATAAATAACGCATGTGTTCTACATAACACTCCTCGACTACCTCTACTACATATAGCTGTCTTTATGTACTGAAAGTTAATTTATGTACTGAAGTTCTTATCTTCTACTATGCTGCTCAGCCGAAGTGTACACATGAGTTATTCCATCGGTTTTCAAGAATAATTTAAAATGATTTCATGAAATTTTCAGAATAGTTAAAAATATGTTATATAAAAGATAGTATTATTTAATGTGGACATTATCTTTTGGTGTTGTAATTTAATAGATATGAGACACGACATGATTCGCAATTGATTCTTAAAGATATTACAATTTGCAATATTAATCGATTCACTTTTTGTGCCAATGACTTCAGCACGATTATTCAGCACAATTAGATGTCTAAAATTTACAGAATATACAGAATGGAGTTTCACTCCTTGCAAAATGAAAGCTATACATACATGCAACAAGATAACAGTCTCGTAAATAGCGATTTATATAATTAATGTTTTTCCAGGCATTTTGTTTCTTTATCCTATCTTTTTTTTCACACAAATGCTAAGGAAAATTTATTTCCTAAAAAAATAAGCGTAATATGCCACACAAATTTCATTGAATCAAAAAGTGCTATTGTATCCCAGTAATATAACAAAAACTCGTGTTTAGTTTGTTAGTTAATTTGAGAATGCAAAATTCTTTACATTAATCTAAGCATAATTTTTACAAAGTAAGAATTCGGTTAGCTTACTTTTCATCTAGGGATGCATCGTATATCCGAAAAATATCCGGTATCTGACATATCTGATACTTTATCATCTAGTCAAATGGTCAGATCAGTATCCAATAATATACCAGCTGAAATTTTATATTGAAAGTTTATGTCATTAATGCAGAATTTTATTCTTTTCAGTTAAACTTCTTTCACGGTTCATCTTTTCCTTTTCACGTTAAGAAAATAAAAAAAATTATTTTTTAACACTATTTTTTCCCTTACTTTAAAAGCCCTGTTCGAAAGGTATCCGACCGGATAAACGGGGAAATATCCGGCATCCGATCGAATAATTGTCCTACCGGATATATGACTAAATATCAAATATCCGAAAAGAACATGACATCCGAGATCCGGTTATTTTACGATCCAGTGCATTCCTATTTTCAATTATTCCTGCAGATGATTTTCCATCCAAACGTGCAAAATATTCTTAATCTGACTTACAAACTGCATTAAAAGCACCTCTCATAAAAACTTATTCTATAAGTTTATAAAATCAATCGAAATTCGTTTTTCCGTAAATAAAACATACAGTGCCACGCATACAAAAAAGCTATCGTATAGACTTACGATAAAGAAAAAAGCAAAGAAGATGAAGTACAGGAAAGAAAAAATGAAGAAAAGATACGTAAGAAAATTTATCAGTTAAATTGTCCTAATTGTTAAAGAATTTGTGACGCAACGTGCTGCGATCCCGGCTGCCTGATGAAACTCCTTACACTTGTGTCACGAAGTCGCAATTATGTACAGTTTCTTCATAGAGATAACAACACTGATCTGGGTGATAGTTCAACTCGACATAAGAATTATGCAAAGTACATAACTCGTTTCGTGTCGGCATGAACTGTGATTGCTCGCGCCATTGCACCCGGTGTCCTATCCTCACTACAACCCGACTGATGAGATCCTTCTCCGCTATAAAGTTAAAACACAATAAGATTCCTGCATATATATCATACTTGGGTATCTCACAACAATACGACAAAGAAAGAGATAACTTGACGCACCTATCGTGCTCTTTCTCGACCAGATGATATCTAGCCCGAAATGCTACGAGATGAGCATAATACGCAGGCGCTGGTATACTAACGGATCTCGTACATCTGACATAAGTGTGACATAATTGATACGTGAGACACTGTAATTCATCGCTTTCAAAGTGATTATCATCCCATAAAACGTGATAATGTGACGGTCTCGATGTACCCTAAAATAATACACTTATTATTAGAACACATGTGCAATGGAAGCTCTCATTAGAGAATTATTATTAAAGAACTCACTCTCACTCGCTCTCTCTCTCTTGCGCGCGCGCGCGCGCACACACACACACACACACACACATAAAATCATATGGGAAAAGTGGCTTGGATTGGCTGACATACCTGAATACCCTGATGACTGCAGAGGTAAAAGTCGAATTCCGTCGGATGAGTTATACATACGTCGACAGTCGTACCCGCTGGAATATTTCCACTTTTACCACTTTGCTCTTTTTTATCCGCACAGAACAGACGCGTATGATGTCTCTTCTGCACTACGATAAACGTTATGCCGGGTCTATAATCGATCTCGAGTTTGAGACATGCTTCACGAATAGCAGTCAATTCGTGTTGCAGAACGGTGAGAAATTGGCCTTCGGAGACGCCGTCGCGATATAGAATTATTCTATGCGGCTTGTACCCGCCTGTGCTCTTATAAAACATTATAAGCAATTCCCTTAAAGAAAAAAGATAATATTTAGAACAAGATAAAAGAAGTAATCAGGACAAATTATAAAAAATTAAAAGAATTGTGACAATTTTGTACAACACAATAATTTCCTTAATATATAGTTTAATAATATTTATTAAGAAGTCACTTCATTCTTTAACAGAGTTTGAGAATCTAAAAAATCCAAGATTTCTTTTTAAGTTAATAATTACCTAGAATTAATATTTATTTTAGAGATATATTATATGACATTTATATATGTATATAAAATATACAAATTTGCCAAAAAATATTGAAGATTTTAAATAAAATATAAGCTGTAGAACATATTTCCCCCCCCCTATCGCAGACGGGTAATAAATTTTCAAAGATAAGGATTTGAAATTATCAAATCAAAAATTTTAAATATTTTCTTTTGTGTGTGTGTGTGTGTGTAAATAAAAATGTAGAGATTAATATATTAATTTATTAAAATAAACTTCGTTATTTACAAAATTTTTGTTTCGAATTAGTATACCTTTTCCCAAAATTTTCAACGAAAAAAATCTTGCGTTACATTTTAGATATTTTTATCTATTTCCAAGAAAATATTTTTTACTTTTTGATTTCAGACCATCTTTACTTCTGAAAACTTGTCACTTATTCACCATATCGCGGCAGAAGGATTGTTCTACAACATACATTTTTTTTATATATATTAAAAACCTTTAATAAATTTATAAATTTATAATATATATATATATATATATATATATATATATTATGATATATATATACATATATTACAATCTGCTATATACTACAGATTTAAAACATAATCTGAAATTTCTTTAACGTTTGTTGTGAAATTTCATACCATAAATTAATTTAGGTATCTCACCTAACCATGGAACTCAATTCCTGGATAATTTCTTGCCTGTGCTGCTGAACTCTAACAGTTGCTGCATATCGAGATGGATGGGCATCCATGCTGCCTACTACAGCAGCTATACTGGGTTTTTTGTTATCTCCCGCCGGCGGGTGAGTTACATCAGCTCCAAGAAATATAACCGGCTCGTTAAACACTTTTGGTCTTATGCTAGGTACTAAAATGCTATTGATGCCTCCTAATTTGACATTTATTTTAAGACAGAGATTAGATAATGTCTGCGGTGATGTTTTATTTACGTTTTTTGCTTGTACACACTGAGTTGCCATGCCTAATAATGTATCTCCTACTCTTTTCACTTCAGCTAAATAAGAAAAAAAAGAACAAATTATTTATCTCAATTTATAAAAATTATACAATATTTCAGAATAATCCATAGATTAAAGATAATTGATGTCTACCAATGTAAATTAACTCTTTAAAATTTTTATTTTAATTCAATTAACTCTTTATCTTTTTCTAATGATAAAATCTAAAAAAAAAAAAGTTAAACCAAGATAAAAATTATACATTGATAGACATAAACATTAATCTATATTCACACACATACGTACGCATGAATACGCACATGTGTGATACATATATACATATATATGTATATAGCATATTTATATAGCATATACAATTACCATATACAGGAGTTTTGCCTGGTAATACAACACAAACTAGCTGCAGTTGCGAAAAAGTCGATTTCAAGTATCGAAACATTGGTTCGACTTGATCTGGTCCAGTAGCATATTTACAAAAACATGGTTGTCCAATGATGGGCATACCAGCATCATTGCTAATTTTCTGTAGTTGTGTTGTGAATGAACGTAACGCATCTTCACGTACTGTTCTTTGAGGCGCAAAACAAGCAATTGCCCACACTCTTATCTCCACTCCAGTGAAGAACTGTTTGCCACGCATATCCCATACACCTTGATTGGGCATCGCCTGCTGCTTTGTCTTTAGGAAGAAATATAACATTATTGAATATTTCAACAGTATGTTTAAATAATATAAAATTATATCACAGTAGATGTATCAGTGTTTCCTTACGTAAACGTATCTTGTTTATTTCATTTTATCTAATACAATTTGATTATATTATATAGTAAAAATAAACAAATAGAATTGTTTCTAAAGAGCAAAGAATTGTTTTGTCAGCATGGAACAAATAGTGATAGCATCAAACTTTTGCACGTGATATCGAACTGCAAATGTAACATTAGTTACATTTGTAAACCGTAAATTACGTCTACAATATAATAAAAATGATACTTATTACATTTATCATTTACAATTTATTATAACAATTTGAATATTCGTTACACTAACAGCCCAGATATCAAATCAACCAGGTCTAGAACCTATGCATTCATTTGACAACTTTTGGCCACATGTGTAGAGATATATCAAATATGATCTTATAATCACTAAATATATACATACGTTAACAATATTAACATCTTGCAATATAAATTAATTTACAAAATATGTTATAAGTATCATGAACACTATTATATGCAAAACAAAATAAAGATTAAGTAAATAAAAAATAAGAATAAAAAAACTAGCACAAACGTATTTTATATTCTTTTCAGCTAAAAGCTTTAACAGATTACATATAAGAACTATGATATTTAATAATCATGATGACAATTTGAATATTCGCGCTACAAAAATTTATATCTGTTAAAAATAATTAAAATTATTAGCTTCTGCAAATGTGATTTGGCTATACCTGACTGATTTAGTTGAAAGTTTCTCACCTGTCCACTGAGGGAACTTACGCGCCCTCCATACTGCAGTTTGGGCGGAGGTAGTACACGACCCCTGACTTCCATCATACTGTTTGATATAGTCAATCCGAATTCTTGTACATAAGAATCATTGTTAAAGTCAGCCCTTCTAACTAAATTGTTAATTTCTCGTTCACGATCTGGTGCAGAACGCGCTGTCGCTTTGATCATAGTCGAGGTCTGCATATCAGTTAACTTTTTAATGCAGCGTTGTCCAGCAACAATATTGCAAACCTAATATCAAATAAAATTAAATTACACTTTATTCGTTAATAAAATGCAATACACTGTAAGTTAAATCCAAAATTTTTGCATACCTCAAGCGGTAAATATGTGTGTTTATGTTCTTGACCGACTTGCAAGCAAGGAAGGTGTGGGTGACGCAATTTCATTTTGTATTTATCTAAGAAGTATTTGGCAACTGTACACTCAACTGTTTGTCCATTTTCCAGTTGCAATGGAAATCTATAATTAAATTAAATTATATTATAATTACATTAGCTGTAGTGCATAATTGATGACATTTCTCTGTTTCATATTCAATAATATTATAATTTCATTGTACACTTACGATTGCATTTGAGCTGGTTTACGTGTAACATTACACACTCGATATTTTCGCTTCATAGCTCCGCAGTGAGTTATTTCAATCTTGAGACCCTTGATTTCTTTGGTAAATTTCACTCTTTGAGAATCCGTGAGCGGCTTTCTTTGTTCATTGATATCTCGAATATCCAACACTTCACACATAAATTCTATAACTGGTTGCGCTTTGTAGAAAGCAGTGGCGGAGACTAGAATACAAATAAAAGTAGATGAATAGGTCATAATAAAGCATGATGTAAATCGGTAATCTTTCTTTCGCTCACCATCGATATTTAACATCATTTTCCATTGCGACGGTCTCACCGACTGATGGAATCCAAACCATACTTCCCTACCTCCACCTAATGGATGATAATATCCTTCTGGCGTACTAAAGAACGATCTACCTACTGGAGTGTATGTCATAGATGGTAAATGCCTCATTACGACATCTAAAGCAAGAACAGCGTCATATGGAATTTGTCTAGTTCGCCCTTCTAAAGCCTCTTCTAAAGCAAATAGCGAAACCTGTGCCAACCATTTTATGACCACTCGAAAAACTCTGTCTTTTCCCTCACCAGGCAGTGTGACCTATAAAGACAATTATAAATGCAATTATAAATCATTGTTTTAAGTTACGTTTTAAACCTTTAAAAGATAGTAACTTACCTCTAATTCTACTTTATCATGCCCAATAGGCAAGGGGTCCCTTGTGTACAAGTTATTTCTGCCATCAAACACAGGCTTACGAGATTGAAATATTTTAGTATATGCATGAACCATTGTTTCTACAATTTCTCTATTAACTTTCCGAGGGCATTTATCAGGTTGTATGCTAATGTCATAGTGATGTACATAGCCACGTGGCATACTAATTTGAAAATGATTAGCTCTCAAACCGATCGGTCTACCTTCTCGTCCTATGTTTGGTCTTCGAGGGCACGTAAACACTATAACAAAATATTAATTAATTGTAGAAAACAAACTTTTCATCAATTTGTTATTTATATATTGGAGTTAGAATTAAATATACTTACTTGGCAGTTCTGTAGGTTGAGGAGGAGTGTGTGCTTGTTGTGCAGGAACAAGCCCCATATTGCTAGGAGCCGCGACACTACTCGCCGCTACTCCTGCTGTCCCAACAGAACCGCCACTAGTTGAAGGTCCAGGTGGGGGGGCTAAGGAAATAATATATAGTATTTCTCAAAAAATCAATATCACTTTTATATATCTTATTTATATAAAATTGGAAAAAAATATTGCATATTGCACTTTTTATTTTATTTCCATTTATGTTCCTACATTTATATTTTTATCCTTAATTATTACTAGAATATATGGCAAAAATTTTGATATGCAATTTTGTTTATTGTTTGTAAAGTATTGTATTAAACAATTATTCAAAGGAGTTATAAGTATTAATACTTAAGAAGAAACTTCAAAGTTAACAGATTACAGTATCTTCCATTTCTTTTTTTATGTCAGTGATTGTAACAAAATGCAGAAAAACATCTTTGATATATTTAACAAGATAATTAACAAACGATATACTTCCAACAATATTACATTATTGAACAAATAATATACTGAAGTAATCATAAAGATGTTATATATATATATATATGTAAAATTTGCTTCTATATATTTACATATCACAATAGAATATAACATAATTAAATGATAGAATTTAAATTAATGTTAAATTGTTTCTCCATATTAGACTCACATATATAGGGTAACCCTGACGATATATAGTTTTCAATATCTGTTTTTGATAACATATTTATCGATTTGTTTATAAACTTATAAAAAAAAATTTCTTGCAATTATAAATTTTCCAAAAATTGCGATATTTACAGCTTTTACAAGCATTTCATTAAAAAAAAAATATATATTATATATTATATCATATGTTCCATTATTATTCTTGCTTTGAGTATTTTAACAATTATTTTTAAAAAAACGTTCTTTTTTTCTAACTCATTATTAACAAAATTAATTCTTTCATAATAATTCCTACATCTTATGTTGGTAATTATAAATTTTACATATAATAACTTTTACACATTTTAAATTAGTAAGGTGCTGATAACTGTATTGTTTTAAAACAGGATTTTAACATTTATTATCAGTACTAAAACTCTACAGTATATGTTGCTGCGTGTTATAGATTTTCAGCACTGACAATGAATCAGAACGTAAACTAATAGTAAGATTGAAGGATTAATGTTCCTGTGATTAAGCCAAAGTTAAGCCAAACTGCCACCATATATGGCCAAATTAACATTGGTGACATTCACTTTATCTTATTTAGGTTGAATATTACTACTAAATGCCTAGTATCATATTTGACGTCAAAGATATACGAAATACAAGACTAAATACTGATTCAATATGTCAATCATAATGAAGGATAATGAGTCTCCAGAAATTCTCTATCCTATGGCCTTTTAATTCAGTATTCGAATTGCCATTCACAGAAAAGATACACACTTCAATATATTGTAGAGTTCAATGAATGAAATAGTATTCTTTAGTTAATATTGCATCTCTCGCACGATAATTTTTCAGACGTACTGGTTAGTTATCGAAGAAAATGGTCAAGTCTAGAAATTTTCTATTCTATAGATATTTAACAGGAAAATTCTATTTCCTTCGTCAACTAATGATTGTGATGATTTATATTAGTTTTGTATTTTATTTATATTGTATGGCAAATAAAATAATATTCTAATAATTATAAAGACAGCTCATATTAAAAAAAAAAAACCATCATTTTTAATGCTTGTTTCTACCAATGTAGTTTAAAATTTCTATCTTAATTCCATTTTTCATCTTTTTCTAGTTTTAAAGCTGATATTTATAATCAATTTTTATATTTAAATAATGTTTTACAAGATGCTAATATGGCCCTATGATTAGTTCGTAACTTCAGACTTGAAATAAGAACGGTCTAAGAATATCGGTTTAAGATGATAAAAAGATGAAGAATAAGTTGAATCAAGATTAAAATCAATCTATGTTAATAAAAACAAGTATAAATGTTTATTTCTGATTGAAATAAATCAATGTAGATCATCAAAGAATTATAATAATTGTATACATTGTTACCAAAGCATAACAAGCTATATCCGCCTTGATCATAACTTTCATAATTTTTGAAGTTTATACATTATATATTCTTTTTAATGTTCTGATGCTTAATAAACTTTCCAATAATGCTCCTAGCTTGAAACAGTCTTCTAGTAATGTGATTCATGTCGGAAACATGTGACACAGCTGGTTTGTAAAACTCGGGACAAATTTTCCACATGGATTTCGGATGCAGATACAAGCAGAGGAACAGTGACAACGAATTGTCAATTTTCTAACAGAGTATAAAAGGTCAGTAGGCCTTTCCCATCACCATTTGCTCCAACACCTAAACGTTGCATTCTTTCACGGTAGATAAGACCATAATCTAGAAAGAGACGCTAGATACCAGAATTAGCTAACGCGTGGAGGCCGTCGTGTCGCGGGTGAGTGACGACACGCGTGCCTGTTGAACGAGGTTCATCCGAGGTCATTCGGCGTGTCTTCACGCACAGGCGTCGCAACGTTTCTTCACGGAGTTTTCCGGGTCGGAGGAACAATCAAGGAGAAGGAAGGCGGACGTTCTGAAAGCCGTAAGCAAGCATGCAAGCATGCGTGCGTGCACCGTGAGCGGGACGAACGAGCCCGCGAGCTCGCTTGCAAGGAACATCCGTAGGGATGGCTCGAACGTGTTTACGAGGATTTCCGTAGACTCTAGCGGGGATACGACGGCGTAATGGCACTCACGTTGTCCTGCGGGGTACATTCTCGCTGCTGTCGAGTGTAAAAGACCAGATAACCACTAATAAATAAGTAAAAAAATTCAACACAAGACCCCACTGGCCACACCACACACTTCCCCACAACACACACTGCGAACGACACCACCAAACGAGACTGTCCCTCCGCAATGGCGTCCGCTAACGCGGCGCCTATTGGCCATAGCGCGGCCAATTGGCGCACAGCGAACGACACTCGCGGTCGACAATCCGCGGCGCTTCGCTCGTTCGCACGTTGTTGCGCGCGGTATTCGCGAATCATTTGAACTATTCCGATCAGTCTCGAAAATTTCTGTCTGATCTTCAGAAAACTTCCATTAGTAATGTTTGTCACGTGCGTCATCTCTTTCTAGAAAAAAAAAAAAAAATCGAACACCTGCCGATATTGATGAGACTACAATATATCATGACTTTTCTATAGTATGCCTGTTCGATTAACGAGAATAACGGATAAAAATAGCGATGAGCACCAATCCGGAAGATTCAATCGACGCGTCACTGTTCTCCTTATCATTCCTCATCTTTGCTATTAACGAGATATCGCTGTCGTAATCGTGTAATCTAGCACGCATCATAAAAAGACCTGGAAGAACTGTACCTACGACTAAACCATTATTAACTATGCTCACGTTTCTATGAATGTACATTAACTAATTTTATAATTAATTAATATATAAAATTATAAAATTAAGTAATTTCATAAATATTAAAATAATATAAATACTGCTAGAAAAGAAAGTTTGATGGGTTTGACTCTACTGTACTTTAATAAGTACAATAAACAAGTATAATAAAAAAAATCCTTTTTTATTGAGTGCAATGATTTAACTATTTAAATAATAGAAAAATCACAAAAATCAAGTTTTTAATGATTGTAAACGAAGTTTGCAGCTAGTATGCTGACTTTAATGACTTGAGATATAAATTAATAAAAACAAATAATTTCCATATTACATCACATATTGCACAGGATGCACAAGTAAAAGTAAATATTGATAATTTAATATGCTGCTTGCATATTAAATTATCAATTTTTTATCGCATCATCAGTACTATGTTTTTTTATTTAATAATTGTAATACATTTCATAAACTCACATGATATCCCTATATTGATAGCAAATACTATTACACGAATAAAGTCCTTTACATTATCATTTGTAAATAAAAAACTTTTACAAATAATAATCGATAAAATAAGAAAAAAAAAGAAAAAAAAATATCAGAATACATCGATGATCACGACGGGCGTTCGGCGTTGTGCAAGATCGATCCGTTGCCAACCTGCCGAATCTGCCGCAGAGTTCGGCCGCAATGGTGGCAACATTGGCGCGGCAAGTTCCGGGCAGTGACGCCGCGAGCGCCACTGCGTCAAGTATTGTGTGTCGCGTTTACGAGTATCGTATTCACGTCGCGACTTCAAGATGTCGATTAGTTTTTCCGGGGCCATCAAACGCCCCGGCGGGATAACGAGCTTGATCGTAAAGCAGCTGCGGCGCGTCAATCTAATGCCCGTTAACAAGATTGACATCCGTTTCGATCCGTTCGACCGTCAGTCCAAGCAGACGAGGTTAGTCTCCTGAAGTTGGCCGCGCGGCGGACGCGCATCACGATTCTTACGATTGCGCGGGAATTATCGAAACGGGGTTCCGCGCGCGAGACATGTGTCTACTTATTTTTTTTTTAATTTTCAGGAAAACACGTTTGCATAATTTCTTTGTAAAAAGTCGAGCGGGAAGTTTGTAAATATAATCGAGTTTTTCGTATAACTGGCTGCGTTTATTCTGCAACTTTTGGAAGTTTATTTCGCTGAGGTCTGTTCCTCTAAATCTAAAAATACAATTCCATAAGCACGAAGGAAACTTTCAATAATTGCAAAATAAACATTGTACTAAACGCTGCCGTTGTACCATTTTTTATGCAATATACTTTGATACGGTTGGATGCACGAAATTTCGAAAATAAAAATAAGAAAGTTTTGCGAGTTATATATTGATCTTTTCAAATAACATTTTATTCTAATCGCGAAGAATAGGAATAAATGTACAGTTTCGAGCAGGATCATGTCTTCTTTCCCAGAGACATACATACATATTTTCTATTAATATAATTTAATTTTAATTTAATTTACTCTTCACCTTTTTTGATTCTTAGAAGAAAAGGATGAAATAAGAATAAAAAATAAACTAAACCGAAATTGTACATTAATAGAAATAGATTCATTAAGCCGATTTTGGCGACAGTTCGATTAATTTAACTGACAGTATTGCTATTCCGTGTGTCGAAACAAAAAATTCAATAATTTTCCTCATGATAACAAAACGGTACCGTTTGATAAGTTAATCAGAAATGACGAAGATTAGTCGAAGTCACCCTTCGATATCCCAATAACGATTAAAGAGGATTAGATAGAACGAAAGGTCCTCATAAATGAAATATATTTTCGCGTACCCTACTATCAGCGCTATCTTGTGAGTCTATAATGCCACATTTATCAATATAACAGTTTTGCCAAAATATCTAAAAATTTATAACTAGAAATCTTTCTATGAAAAAAAAAAAACCAAGTTACTTTTATATCTGCCCTTTAGCGAAATTTTCAAATATTTCAGCAAAATTGTTCTTTGCATGAAATGTAGTTCATGCTATATATATACTGCAAAATATACACGTATATATACCGCTTTACAGATTGTAGCCAATGTAACACATTCTTATTAATTACATTTAAGTATATTAAAATGACATTTTATTTTAAACATATATTTTTATGAAAAAAATAGAAACGTAATGAGGCATCAGATTCGACATATAGTTTTGATCGCACGCGCACCTCCACTCTATCCAATCCTCTTCAATAACGATCAACCACCACCAACCCGCGAGTCAGGTTGGTACTCGACGACGTCATCCCCACGCACGCGCACCCCTCGGCGCCAGGTTAGCAGACGATATGCGCAGCCCTCCCTATTTATAGAAGCGTGTCTCGATCGTGTGTGCGTTGCTAGTCAAGAACGTTGCTAGAAGCAGTTCCAAAGATTCACGAGGTCTTTCTAGCTGCCCTGTTGTCGCTCGGATAATCCGCGTTAACAGGTAATAAAGAATAGGAGAAAACGAAAACCTTCCTCCTCTCCCTTCTCCGTCCTACCCCATCATGATTCCGCAATAGCGACTTTGACGTTTGCCTACAATCATGGCGTTTGGTGCGTTCGACACTGACACGATGTTTGCGCGATGACGTGAATTCCCATTTCATATATTGAATCACGAGAAAAACCCGCCTTTTAGACGATCTATCTATAATTCCAGTCGAACTTCGGAAGAAGGTAGAATCAAATAGAATCCTATCCACAATTTATAATAGTATGTTTTGATCACGTGTATATTTTAAATATTTTATATTATGTCTTGTTTTGTCTTTAAACGCTTGTCACGTGCATATATACACATAAATTTAATTTCATTAATATTAAATTACGTAAGTAACATAAAAAAATTTAATTATACAATAATAAATATTAATTTTATTATAAAATGAAATAATCAATAATTTATTGTAATTGAATATTTTAAATGTTAGTATTTAGTATTTTAAATATTTTGAGTTCTTTTTCAAATACTTTTCGCGTATATATACGAATTTAATTTCATTAATATTAAATTACATTTATGTAATAAATGTAGTAAATAATTAAGTATTAAATCAAATTAATCTATTATAATTTTAAAATAATTTTATTATATTAAATAAAATTATCTTCTAAATTTTACGCAAATTGCAGGTCGTCTAAATAAAGCTTTGAGTTACTTTGATTACAATGTGCGAATACAATGCTCCTATATTTATTTCAACTATCTTACGCGCTCGTGTATGCATCTATTCTTTTTAATTAGACTAGTTTACATCGATTTTGATTGATAATTAAATCAAATTGCTGATACACAATCCATAAACATAAGCATCGGAATATATCTACGAGACATCATATTTAATTTTAAGAGAGCTTTTAATTGATTTAGTCACTTTTGCGAAAATTGAGAAAAATGAATAATCTATTGTTATCTCCCTCTTGTCATACAGATTTGTGTACAATCAGAAACATATTTTTAAAAAATGAATATACGCGGACTTTTCTCCCGCTTCATAATAATGTTTCTCTTTTAATTATTCATTTAAAACGAATGTAACTTACCATTACATTGGCCACATCCATATGCTTTGCCGAGCATGGAAACGGCTGTAGTTATACGAAGGGTACTTAAATCTGGCATTGGAAGCGGTAATTGCTGCTCCATTTGTGCCATTTTGCCTGTGAAAGAAACGGTACACACATTGAGACACACAACGGGGAAGTAATATCAGCAAATCATGTTTTACTATGAAATTGCGAAACAAGATTGCCAAAAAGGAAAAATAAGAGAAAAAAAAAACAAAACGTAGATTAAGCGATGAAAAATTTAATTTCTACAACCTTAAAAAGCATTGTACAGATTAGACTTTCTTACAGATCAACACGTGAAATAATAACATGCATAATGTTTTTATTTGCAGAGATTTTCTATTTTACATTAGCGCTCCGAAAATTCGTGCAACGAACCCGCAGTGCTCATTAAAAACAGATGTGTGTGATCGTTCCGAGCCAATCATCACGTTCAATCTTCGTGAGTATAATAACAAAAATATGGAGAATTGTTCACGTCATTGTTTACGTTTCAGTGCATATCGCTATAGCTCAATTCATTCATGTGAGTGTTCGTATCGTACAAAGCGGAAAAATATTAAAAAAGGAATACGAAAAGAAAGATGCATAAGATGTGTGATTAAATTGCTTTCTTATTCAATAAGGCCCAGTTTTACAACTCACAGTTAACTCTTAACCGGGGTTCAACTTATTTCTCGTCTCTTTCTAATTGTAATTGTAAAATTAGAAAGAGATAAAGAATAAGTTAAATCTCGGTTAAGAATTAACCATAAGTTGTGAAACTGGACCTAAATCTTTATGAAATCGTCCGTATACTCAAAGTTCTATTCCGCGCTAATAAATCGGAGTTAATATCGCAGTTATTTATCTAAATTATTTCGTCTAGATTTTTTCTTTTATATATATCTTTTCCCCATAATTTCGCACAGATACAAACAAGTAGGTCACACCTGGCTTGTTTATTTTTTCAGAGTCAGGTGAAAAAGTGGTGTTAAAAACGGCCCTTTTAACAAGCCTGAACATTTTACAACTTTACAACAAGCACATCACTAGCCTGATTCCGCCCGATCCGGCTGAGCTTGAGGCTAAACAAGCACTCCTGGAAGAGAGGAAAAAGAAGAAAACGCGGCCGCATCATAAACAAAAATTATATAAGAAGCATAGAGGAGTGTATCATTTACTTTAATTTCATTGGCGACTTATTGGACCGCTTATTGGTAATAAATGAAATATCAAATTATGTTTACACGATGTACAAGTTTTTCCAGAAGTCTACTCAAACAAAATATTTCTAAATAATGTATTCGATACGTAGCCGTGATTTTCATCCTATTTTATGACATCGCAATTAATCTTCTGTAGCGTAAATTATTTTTTTTGTCTGAATTACATTTAATACTTGTTTAAATATTGTAAAAAAGCCTATATAGATATTAATAATTATAGTTTATATTCTTGCAGGATTTTACTAAACACCAAAAGGTGTCAGATTTATATTAAATAATAAAGAAATTTATTTCGTGCAATCAAAATATTAGATTGCAGTAAACCGATTGTAAAAAATGAAAACGCTAATTTTATTAATTTAAAATGCACGGGAAGGAAGTTAGCGTAACGACGAATGAAATGATAGGAAACAGTAGAAATTACCATTTAAAACTTCTCGATATGTTCTACAATCATGTTCCAGCCTTCACCGACGTGTTTGACGAAGACTCTTGGTATGTTTTCGTCATTTGTTTTGTAGCAGGTACTTTTCTGGTGGCATTTATTCTTTCGAGATTCATAACTATAAAACCTGTTGAGTAAGATCGTGTATAGCGAATTCAGTTTGCAAGATGTTTTGTATTTCCCGTCAAATTACATTTCTTCATGATTTTTTTCGCGCACCGCAATCATGTAAACCTTTCAATAAAAGGTATAATATATAAATTTAATATAAACTCACACCATATAATAAGAATGAAAAAATTCTTTGCTAATTACTATTGTAAGAACAGGTACAACTTCCAAAAAAATGTAATATGTCATAAATCGTTTGTGCTGATAATAAAATGTTATTAAAAAAATATTGTCTGGTCGTTTAAGTTAGGAATTATATATTTAGCTAGTCTAACAACTTGTCTTGTTTCTTAACAAAACTTATTTAAAAACTTAAAGAACTGGTCAGCAACTGACTATGATTTTTGAATGATGAATTTTAGGTTATTTTTTATTTATTTACAGTGACAATTTAAAGAAAGTTATTCTTTTTGTATATTACTTATTAGTTCCCAGTACAATTATTTCTGTAGAAATTTAATATTTTTACTCAATCACACACATGAATATTTTTAATTCTTATACGAATTTTTATTCTCATTACTACTAATATCTAGTATATTGGACAAATATGAATTTTATATTGCTCTGAAACGTTCTCGTGTGATTAATAGCAAAATTAAAAATTAACGCAAAAAATATTGCTCAAACAAACTACGAGCAGTTTCGGCAGACTCGTGCAAATCTCGTTTCTCAAGTTTGCCAAGTAGTTTTGCTTCTCCTTTCTTCTGCCCACCTCTCTTCTCTTTCTCTATCTCTTCTGCCTTGTGTTTCCTTCTATCTCGTCCATGTGTGTGCATTTGGTTCCTTTCATTCTTTGTCTGTTCTGACTGTACCCCGCTATCGTCTTTACGGACATATATTCTTTCTACAACATAGATCTTTTTCTTTTTCTCTTTCATCTCTAAATTTCAAACCGGACTTAAAAGTAAGAAATCAGCACGTATGTGAAAAATAATCGCTGGAATATAAAGATTTGTGTTCGCTCGTGCGATTTTACTTAAACAAATTTACTTCGCAATTAACTCGCACAGAGTTAGACGTGTCGAGGCGCGACATGTTTTATGCTTGCGATAATAAAATCGTAATGTAATATGATTTTATTGCGAACGGAAATATTAAAACATACCGGCTTCCATTTTCGCTTCCATTTTAACAATCCTATAAACTGTACGTATACGTCAGACTCGACATTCCATAATCCCAAAGTGATTCTTTATCATTCTTAGTAACATTTGGTTCATTCCTGATTTGTATTCTCAACCTCTATTTCAACTCAATTAGCATTAAATAAGTTAATTGTCTTTAATTAACAATTTATGAAGGATGCCGAATTCAGAATTTGGAAGAGTATAATTTTCAAATAGCTATTTCAAGCAACCCGTATGGTGTCTAAAAGAAGAATAGATACAAAGAAAATCAAGCAATATATCAAAATATAAATTAATAAAGCATCAAAGTGCGTGGAGATTAAAGCTGCGCAAACAAGGCAATCTGTGCTGCAAATGCACAAAGTAACTTTAACTCTTTCAAGGCAATCTTTTAGTCACATAAACAGAACAAAATCCTTAGTAAGAGGAAAAAATTCTTTAACTTTTCAACTTACATTTTTTCTATAAGTTTCAATTTTGAGAAATGCTATTTAAATAAATTTAGCAAATAAATTTATAAACATTATAAATCGAACCGTTGATTCTATGCAAAACAAGCAGATAGAATTGCTATTTAATTTTCCAGAAATATCAAACATTTTTCGAAATAAACCATCATCAGTGTCTTGAAAGGGTTAATAGTGAGGCGATGAGAGAAAAGATGTAGGATTGAAACTGTGACATTCTCGACGAGTTCAATTTCCGTCTACGATAAAGGAATCTTGTGATTCGGTACATGAAAACATTTGCAAGAGATCACTCTCGCGCGTCTCATAGTCTAGGGAACTTATCGAACTCGGCGAAATTCTGTCGAGGTTTCAAATCCAACGATGAGAGACTCTTCTTATTTAAGGACTCGGCACGCTCACCTCGTTTCTGCGTGTATCCTCGGGGTGATAGATAAAATTTACGACATGTAAGGATTGTAAAGCGTTTTTCGTAAAGCTTGTAGTTCTTCACTTCACACCGGCATTCTCGGTGGTCGGTTCGCACGCAACGGAGCGACGACAACGAAGACGGTGATGACGATGCACTGACGATATACTGTTCTGTCCTGCGTGCGTGCACGCGAGACTACGTGGTCGCGGCAGCCGTGCTGCCGCGGCTATCACTCGCGAACACGGGAAATTGCATCCCTCGTTGCTGCTCCGACGTCAATGTCCGCACACGTGACCACGATTCTCTGCAAGAACATTCGCACATCAAGACTTGTCACCGAGCATTCATCGAAATACGGTGCACTTGCGAGATTAGTCGCGAGATCCGGAAAGACGCGGGCAGGTAGTGGCGATTCTTTAAACCCATTTTCTTTTTTCTCCCTGTAAATATCTCAATTTTCATATAGAAAATTTAATTTTTATTTAAAATAACGAAAAGCTCTCTAATATATAGAGCATTATTTATTAATCTTCTGCTTTCTTCACATGAGCGAAACTTCAAACTTAAATTATTTTTGCTCAAATTTCAATTTTTATTATTATAAATAAATATTTTAACATTTGAGTTAAAAAATTATTTGGTAATATAACAGAGACGTTGAAAACTTTGATTTTTTTTAGAGCCTAAATCAGTAAAAAAACTGGTGCTGAATAAAAAATTGCAAACAGAGGAAGTAAAAATATGTTGCAAACGGAAGATTAAATATTTGTTTAAAATAATGTAAAGCTCTATATTTATATACAGAGTATTATTTAAATATTTAAAAGAACATAAATTCAATATTTATAGCTTACGTACAAATCTAAAGAAGATTATGAAAAATAAAGGAGATTTATTTTTAATCCTTGGGAATGCAAATGAGAGAATCTGAATCTAATTTCAGATATAACAACGCTCGTGATATTTCTTTCATAACTTTAATTTGACTCCGTCTAATCATACTGTTGTCACATATCTGTGATAATATTTAATATCAAAGAGATAATAACGACAGATAAGATAATCGTATTTTTTTTTGTGAAAAAAATGCAATCCTCCTTTTTTGCAAAAAAGTAACACTCTAACAGACAAGATATTCGTAAAGAAACATCTGTATATGTATGTGTATATATACATATATATACATACAGGGTGTCCAGAAATTTGAGAGTAATATTACTGTAGTGTGAAACTTCGTGCAAAATTATGTAATAAAAGTGCAAACCACTTTTTTCCATAAGATAAGTTTTTTAAATATAAACGTTTAAAATTTGACTAATCATAAGCGTTGATCAAAAAGTTATTTGTCGTGTGACGTACGTGCAATGATGTTAGGTATTAAACAAAACATTGTCACTGCATGCACATTGTGTGTCACATGGACGGATAATTTTTCGACCAACACTTATCACTACTCAAACTTTAAACGTTTATACTTAAAAGACTACTTTACGAGAAAAAGATGGCTTGCATTTTTATTACTTAATTTTTCACGAAGTTTTACGCTGCAGTAAGATTACTCTCAAAGTTCTAGACACCTGTGATATTATATATATGTATATGTATGTATATAATGATTACGCCTAAATATATGTATTTATATAAATTATTATATATTTATATAAAATAATAAAATATACTTAGGCATGAAATAATCATCGACTGTCAACGGACAGTAATGACATTTCTCCACGCTATTTTCACCACGCTACTGGCGATAACATTATGAATGAAGACAAAAGCCGAGAGCACCGTTCATCAATAATCCGTGCGTTTGAACAAGTAGTGATGCGCTTCTCCATTTACTTGCCGACTTACACGGATTATTCGATGCACAATTTAGTTCCTCTCGTTCAAAATATTCATTTACGATCAATTTCACTTTAGTAAACTGGACCTTTTTATCGTGATACACTTTATACAGTACGAAAACGAGTTCCAGCTATAGAATAAGAAAATTGCGGTATATACATTAGACAAGATGTTTCGTAACAGATTGCATCATGTTACTCCAAACATAGTATAATCGATATACACCTAATGTGTATGTACTGTACATATATAACGCAATACTATGCTATGCAACACATGTGGTTCAAATGTAGAAATGTGAGAATCAACGTCAAACGTCGAAATAAGAAGAAAATGTTAAATTCTCATGTGTCTACATAGGTAACCAAGTCGTTTTGATTTTAGTGAATCGAATGGTTCCTCGCAATAGACAAACTCCATATCATGTGCTAGTTTGAACGTATGTTGCCCTTGAAACGGATACGGAAGTTTAATGAGACGAAACGTCGCGACGCAGCGATACTTTTGCGGCCGTTGTTCGTATATCGCAGAGCTTTATCCACCGCCTGGACACACATAAAAAAATATCATTCTATCGCTGAGAAATGTGATTATGCAATTTATTTTTTCCTTGTAAGTAAATGGTTATCTTTAACACAGAATATTTTCTTGATAATGATCTTAAAATATTTATAATAAATATTATAAATTTTAGAAAAATTTATATGTATTCAAAACAAGAATTTATTTTGTTTTAAAAAATATAAAATTTATCGAAGAAACGACTTTATATAATAAATAGATCGAATTTGTTTTAATGTAATAATCTTCATTGAAATATTACAAACTTACTCTAGAGGATTCAAAATGAACTTAAAAATTTGCAAATAGAAAATATACATAAACTTCTAAGATACTCGAAATGAGTAATTATTTGCGTACATAATATTTTTCTATGTGGATAAAATATATACAAATAAGATTGTCGTTTCTCATGAATCGCTGCTGGTGACAAATTAGCAATCTAAAGGCAAATGATAGATAGTGAAAATAATTCTGTAATTCATACTTGATTGTTGCAGGATCTTCGCAAAATTATTTTTAATGAATTCGGTCATTCACACTACAATGGATTAATACATATTAAAGACTGTATGTATTTTATATAAAATATCATATCTAAATGCAGTAGAGCATAATATAATCAACTTTGACAATAGAATAATATATGTGCATTCTGTTAATTAACGTGACAACATTATTGGATATTTAATTATGTAAATATTTCGAATATTTATATTTCACATTTAAGTTTGTTAGTTTCATATTAGTTTTATAGCAGCTTTTATAATAGTACACACTAATTTAGCGTAATGACCGAACTCGCTATTTGATTGAACTTCTTAAATATTTTAAGTATCAATGATGGAATAATTTACTTCTTCTTTGGAGTAAAATCTTATTCTGAAGAATGAAAATTAAACCAATCTTGAAAGAGTGACTCAATTTTTAATCTTTAAAAATAAGATTTCACTTTTCAGAATGAGATTTTCACTCTGAAAATTTCTGAGGATAAATATTCAAGGACAATTACAGCGTTATTCCTTCAGACTTTGAAAAGTGCAAGTGTATTGGCATTTAAAGATACGGCTCCGATTCTCTTATTGTCGCTAAAGAATATGGATGTTTCAAAATCGCGTTTCATCTCCTCCCTCAAGATCAATCCTTAGCGTCGTGCGTGACGCGTACGCACCACTACATGCAGACGGAAGAGACGCGGCTTCCGCGTGCGTTCGCGCACACGCGGAACCGCGTACCACGCGCGTTAGCTACGGCTCACACTCCGCGTATGCAGTTCCGTATCTTTTTTTTTTTTCTTTTCCGTCGAACCGCCAGCGATGAGACAAGAAATTGGGTCGTTCGACCGGTCGCACGAATGACGTTTCTTCGCGTTAATGTTTCACCGAGCGATAATAAGCGACAAGCCGGGAAAACGCGTTCGTACGAGCTCATAAAATGTCCAATAAAATTCACGAAAGTCCACATCGCCACGATTTTGTTCAACATCGAAGCCAGATGTTTTGTGCATAATTAATTTTAAATCTTTTCTAATGGCAATCATATAAATGTGGCAAAGGTTTACTTGCTCACAAATTTCAAAGAAGTAATTAACTTTTACAGAAAAAAGCCACTTTAGTGGTATTGAAAATATGTATATATATCGTATTTTAAGACAAAAAAATACAATAAAATATATATAACGAATAATGATAACGAATCTTACTCAAGGAAAAACTGAGATTAAAAAACCTCCGTTCTCTAAAAGTTAATTAATTAACACAGTTAAGAAATAAAAAAAAAATTTAAATTGAATACAATTTATCATCATTCATATTTGTATATATACATATACACGACATGTATACATAAAATATATATTTATGTACACATGTATACGCCGTGTAATCCCGTAATCAAACGACATATGCACGCGACATATGTATACTTGTAATGTATACGCGCAAGTCTAAAGTTTCATTTAATAGGGGAGACTGACTAACTTCAAAGTTATCACAATTTTATCGCTTCACACACGGACGACGCATTGCTGCAACAGCAACGATCATGACGACACCAAGTTAATCATGTACGAGAACGATGATTCATACTGTTTGCACAGAACGTACATTGACACTTGTCACTCTCTCGTCTAACCTTCAAATTCAACCCTTTTTTTAACTTTCGTGGACGACACGACGGTCTCGCTCGCCGCGGTCGGCGTATCGGAATGCCGCGCGCGACGCAACGCGCGGCGCGGCGCGGCACGGCGTGACGTGACGTGATGTGACGCGCGACACGACGCAGCACGATGCGCAACCACGCTCGCTCCGAGGACGACGGTCTGGGACGCGAGGACCAAAACAAAGGGACGCGTCGCTAGAGAGAGAGAGAGACACGCGGACTCTACATCGAGAATAACGAGTAGCAATTTCGAACCGTCGAGTCGTCGCGATGTCCACGTACGCAGCACTCCCGCGTCTTTCGGCACCACTCGTCTTCTCCTACTTCTCTCTTTTTCTTTCTCCTTCTTCTGATATTGTTGCTCGAGGCGTGCCTGCTCTGCCCGTCGTCGTCGCTTTCACTCGCGACGCGATGCCGCCGGACGCGCGATCTCCTCGGCGCGGAGCCGCCAAAAACGATCACCAAGTGTCAAGGTTGCCATTGTGCACACGTACGTGGACTACGCGCGAGAGTATTACGCTCACGCACACCATCTTACATCATTCCACGTCACCCCTCTTACTCCCCCACGTTCCCTTTAAGCCACTACCTGCCCGCCCGCTCTCTTCTTTCCCCCACCGTCTTGGCACCCGTCGCGGCCGCCGCGGTACCGCTATCACAACAATGGCATTGGAAAGAAATTACGATACCCGCAGCTTATTTCACGATGACACTGGCCACGACACGTCGCGGCTCACCGCAACGGTTAATCGGATTCACACGCAGACAGGAAACTGGGCTCCTTCACGCGTCCGACCCGATGCGTTATTCGCCGCGGCTTTTGTCAGCGAAATTTCGCCGTGGCGCATTCAGCGATCAGCGTTTCGCGAGGGAGTTCCCCCACTACTTGTACGATTCACGCGGCTGCGCGCCAGCAGAGCGCAGGGCCGGCCTGAGTCGCCTGAGCCGCCTCAGCGGGCACCCCGTCATACGACCGTGTTTACAAACAAACGCTCCGGCCGGGACGCCGCTGCTTCGATCGCTATGGACGCGTTGCGTCGCGGCGACTAGACGACCGACAATTCCAATTCACGATTATATCGCGCGTATCTCGGTTAATTCAGTGAATTTCTTGTCTGGTTATTAATTACTTTTGTCTCTATTAAATGGAAGTCTAAAAATATATGCATGTTTCACGCCTAAATACCTTTTGGTCAACTAAAATAGAAATTCATACACTCGATTAGGTTCAAATAGACTTTGATTTGCTCTTTAAATATTAAATAAAATTGTTAGATAAAGAAATGTATTTTACAAAATATCAAATATAAAAAAATCAAACCAAAGTTAAGGAATACATAATTTTATGTATTTTACTCTTATTAGTAATTGCTAATAACTGAGATTATTTTATTCAATTTAAAGACTTTTGTAAATGGTATTACAATTTTATTAATATTTTGGAATTGATTATTGCGTCAATCTATTATTTTTAAATAATTCGTTTTCTACAGAAATTCTGTTGAAAATGTTTGCGCTTCTCGCGCTACAGCCGTACCTGCATGATGTCATGATCAAGCAGCCAATCAGAAATCACCGCGATTAAACGTACAAACACCTGACGACACATTTACGGCGTCACTTTGAGCAATCTTTGCCTTTCTGACCTAACCTTTTTTGTCTGAGAAAATCAAACCAAATAATTATGCTATTTATGTCGTAACTTATATATTTTATTAATAGTAACTTGATGATATGATATAGCACTAATTTATTTTTTTTTGTCAATCAAGAAATTGATAAAAAAAACACAGCTGACGCCATATATCGATTATCATGTAGGTCCAATAAAACGCTTGTGCGTCGTAAACAAAGGCGCATGATTGGACCGTTTTTTCCCGCCATTCCGTTTCTTACTATTTAAATTCTACATTTGATTTTTTCATCAATAAAATGTTTTTTTTACGGAATTACTTATTTTTAACTTGTTATGAATAAAATTTGAAAATTAAAAAAAAATTCTTTAATACAAAGCGTAACAATGTCTCTTTACTCGTTAAAAGGATCGAGTAAATAAATTAGGAAAATAAAGTGACCGAATATTTCACAACAAAGGACGTAATTGAGTGAAAAAACTTTATAATCTTATCTTTTATATAAGAGAAATATGGTATTAATTTAAAAAATAGAAACATGTGATAATTGGCTACTCGGTATTTCAACCATTTAAATAATTTCAAACACAAAACTTTGAGACATTTGAATACTTATATAATACACGAATTTGGTACATATATTCGATTTTATTAAATTATTTTATTTAAGTGTTAGTAGTTTAATAAATCCAATAAATGTATACAAAAGACCCAATATATCAATTTTCGTACATGTGTAATTTTGATAGAATAATGAAATTCCTTGTTTCTATATTTTAATCGATGTGTTTGCTAATCTCTTATTAATATACAAAATTAACATTGCGGATTTTTGACGGCTTGGAGAAACGTTTACATATACATCCAAAAGTGTTACTAAAATTATATATATAGGTATATCTAAATTATTTCGAAGAAAAATATATCCAGCAAGATTTTTTATTGCGTATTCATTGCAACATAATAATAATGTAACGCATAATTTCGAAATAAAAAAAGGCAACGCCTGAAATTAAGGATGCATACAAATTACATCCTTAATCTAAAGCCATGCCTTCGTCGTCATCGTCCTTTTTATCAGGACTAGCAGCCGATGATTGCTTCTTATTCTTGTCATCTTGTCCCTGTTGAGCTTGTTGTCCCTGATCGCTCTTCGCTTCGGACTCCAGAGCGCTGACGAATTCTTCGATGTTTCCACTGGCTGCGGCACTGACGGCGTCCGGTCCCAAGCCGAATTGACGGATGACAGGGCCCGCCTGGCCCGACTGCAAAGCAGACCAGAACATTGATAGCGCCTGGGAGAACTGGGGAGACGATAGCGTGGTAGACAGGCTGTCCCCAGGTGGCAAGTGCACGTTCATAGCACTCTCCAAGTTCTCCGTCGCAGAAATCGCCTCCGATGAGATAGTGCTGGTCAGCTCTGTCGCTACGCCCCTCTGCCGGACAATAAGCTGCGCTGTAGCTGGATGAAAACAACAGACATACCCAGAGAAACTTCCCCAACTGCTCAGCAGAGCCACAGTCTCCGACAGCCAGGAAAAGTTCAGACAAAGGATAGTATTGCATAGTGAGAAAACCATGCCTCTGTCTTTTCTCTAATCTTGCTCTATCACAAATTTGCAGGTTAACTAATTAGTTTGACAACCAAATTAACATAGTCGAATTAAAAAAATTGTTACATGTTTTCTTTTTTTTAACTTTGCCTCAAAATGCTTTGAATCAAAATACTTTGTATTCAGTAACTTAACAGTAAAGTGTTAATAACATAATTTCATAGTATTGTAGAAAATATTATATATGTTTAACAGTCTTTCAAAGAAATAATACTACATAAAATTGTATTGGACTATGTAACATTGAAACTTCACTTATAGATTATTAAAACTTTACCGAGTTTCAAAAGTAAAAAAAAGCAAACACAGTATTGTAAAACATATTAATTAGGACTTATAAATTATGTCACTTTTGTACTGATATTATTATCTACGAGCATATAAACTAACACATAAACACGGCTATATTAAAATATAATACCAATTCAATTTAGAGACATTAAATATGAAGTCCGTTATTTCATCACAAATTTTTTTTGTAATGGTTTTGTTGGTTTAAGTTTACATATAATATTTTTAATGTTAATTTTCTAGCATTGCACTATATTATAGACAATTACTAATTATTCTCAAATAATGAAGCTACAAAATTCGCTTTTACTCAAAGAAAACCATTTTAAACTTGTAAAATATTGAATAAGCTTGAAAGCTATTCTGCAACTTCTGTTATCAAGAATGGCACTTTATATATCCCTGACATTGATAGTAGCTGTAAAAAATATACAATTAGTATTATACGATAAGATAATCTATTTTATGATAAGCTATTCTTTGAATTTTCTACATTACACTTTGATGACGTATTAATAACTTCCACATAGAATTTATTCGATTTATGGTTGCTTGGTTCCATCATTTTACTTATTGTGTTTTCAGAATACTATATATTTTTTTATATGTAAACTATGTAAAAAAAATACTGTTATCCTTCTGCACTTTTGATTTTATTCTTGTATATTAATTTTACATAAATATTAATTTAAAATATATAATAAGTGATTTTAAGATAAATATTTGATATCTTTTATCTCTTCATTTGATTTAATCTTTTCATATTTGAAAAAAAAAAGTTATCTGTGTATAAACTAAATCATAAAGATTGAGTTTATCCAGTAAATATTATTATTAATTAAATTGATTTATCTTCGATAAAAAAATTTTTTATTTCAAATTATTTATAGAAATATCGTAATATCAGATGTGTGAAAAATTTTTTTAAATGTAGATATAAACATAAACACACAATGTGTAATACATATTTCTCAAAGAAATTAAACATAAATTTTGCAAATGAGAAGGTAAATAAGCCTATGTGAGCCGTCACAAGTTGTAATGTGTGTGTAAAATTGTATTCTTCAAAGAAATTATACAGACGTTTCGACAATTGATTTCGTCCTCTTCAAGTGCCAATATTATTAGGTGTACAAAAAAGTTCTAAGCTTTTGTTTGTAAAATTCAATCTTTATTCGTATGTAATCGCACGGAAATGGCTTGCTGCGTAACGCCAAGCTGTTCTGCAAGCTCCTTTTCAGTTTGCGCAGAGTTTATATCCAGCAGTGCTTGCAATTCGTCCGTTTCAATCTTTTCAGGGCGTCCAGCAAGCGATTTATCTTTAAGACTGAAATCTCCTTGGTGAAACTTTTGATACCATCTTTTACATGTAGCATGACTTACAGCGTTCTCTCCATATGCAGCACAAATCATTGCAGTGGCTTCAGCAGCATTTTTCTTCAGATGAAACGGGAAGAGGATGGAAAATCGAATATGCTCTTTTGTTATTACCATCGTGAACACTACTGATTTTTGAGATTATGTGCATCAAACGCCAAACCGTATGGCATTTTAGAAGGCCAAATGTTAACGCTTTAAAACCGCAAAAGGGCGGAAAGATATATAATTTAAATTGTTATTCCGGTTGTATGAAATCTAAAGCTCAAAACTTTTTTATACACCTAATATAATCCAAAATTAGTACTGTGATAATAAAATTAATTGATTACATCAAAATTCCCTGGCGTCATCTTTATTTAAAATTGTTCTAACGTCGTTTATTATATCTAGCAGGATATTCAAACTATGATGAAAGTCACTAATAATAAAATAGAAACAAAAAAGAAAGAGATTATAGCTATTATTATTAAATTTAATGTAGTCACTAATGTGTTTCAAGACTTATTTAAGAATAATTTCTCGATGACTCTCCTTTGCAATAAGAAAACGCAATCGGTCTTTCTGCTTTGAGATCTCAAAATTAAGTGAAAGGTCAAAGAGAATTAAGATTTTTACATAATAGTGTGTTCACATTTAGAAGAATAATACGAAACATGTGATAATATAAATATAAACATAAATATAAATAAATACAAAAATAATAAACATAGAAATAAAAATAAATATAATACAAATAGAGAGAATAAAAATAAAAATAATAAAAATAATAAATAAAGAATATTACCTAATTGACATTTAATTGGTGATTTTGCTAAATAAAAAACATCAAATTTTTGTTAACTTTTATAACGTTTAGTAATGTAATTTTCATATTAAAAAATAAAAAAAATAATGACATGCACATGTTTGTAGCAAAGTTATTAACTTTCGGTAAACATTTATAATGCAATTCAATGTATCATGTTTCATCATTATTATGATATTCTTGAAAGCCATTTATAGAGTGTTCTAAAATTATAAAAATATTGCTCTTACAACAAATTTAAAGAAAATGTTTTTTTTTTTTAATGAAGATATTCTAATTTTATGTATTCTAGATTTTAGTAAAATGGTTTTATGTTTTTGATCTTTTTTTCCTTTAAATTTAATTTATTAAAAATTGCAATTATTTATTATACAAAAATTAAAGATGCTTTGACATTTTCATTAAATGAAAATGTGAATTGATTATAAAAAGACCAAAAAATTTATGATGGAAAGACCATTAAGAAAATTTTAGAACACTATATAAATGGATACTTGTAACCAATACATTCAAAATTTATGACAGAGGCATCTTCTACTCACAGAACGTTAGCATCTTCAATTACCTGCTATCGTTTATCCCATATAGAGTCAAAATTTTTCTAATTCAATTATTAGAATATTTAAAAAATAGTGTGTATGTACATTGCATTATATTTGCATTAATTATTTGTTAAAAAAAAAACAATTTTCAATCAAAGTTCAATTCAATCCAACGATTAGATTAATTCCGTAAGAAATAAAAAAAGTAGTATGATATTACCTGCACAGCTGGCTCCGTTCGAGATGGCGTTGGAATTTCCGATAGAAAATTCTGCAAATCACTAAGTTGTATTCTATTACTTGGAGCTGCTGCTGTTGCAGCTGGCGTGGACGGAGCTGTTGTTCTTGTTGATGATTTATTATTACCTAGGAAAATATATCATTAGGATATGCTGCTTTATTTAAACAAACAGTTTAAACTTACTTGAAGATTTAGAGTCCGTATTGGGCCCAGGAGTCAACGAATGAGGTGGTCTAGTTACATTCGTAGTGGCTGGAGTGGATGAAGTCGTAGTGGAAGCCCTTGTACTCTGAACACCATGTGGTCTATTCATTGTACCTAATAAACTACCTAGACCACCGATTTGACCAACACCACCAAACAATTGTATAAGCTGTTGCTGCGACATGTTGTTCAATAAATTCTGAAGATCTCCTTCAGCGTTGGTACCACCACTCCTTTGGGATCCTGGAGTCGGTGGATTATTTAATACATCATTAATTTTTCTACAGTGCTCTTCATCTTTATCAGTTTTGAGATCCTATACAAGGAAAATATACAATGTATAAAATCATGCTAAATAAACATATAACAGACTATACATTCATATGTGGTAGCTGAAGACAATCATATGAAGGATAGATATGTATGGTCTGTTACTTTTTCTATCACACATTGCATAATGGAAGAAAACCATCTGATAAACTGCTTTCTGTTACTAATGTTGTCCTCATGTCTCTAATGAAAGCATCTATTATATAAGTTTATAATTTAATCAAGACATGGAAAGTTACTTTTTAAAAATAACAAGTTACAGTATTATTCACATTACCGACTAGAAAAAGTAATTAAAAAAAAAAACTAAACTTGTGACTATAACTTCATTACTGGTAAAATATTACTTCCATTTCCTGTATTTAATACACAGCTGATTATAAGATAATATAAATATCAAATTTTTGTTAAATTATATGAACATAAGACAGATATAAATTAATTTGTTCCAATAACTGCAGTAATTTTGCAAAATTGTATTTTACTTACCTGTAGCCAAAAAAAGAATTTTTTATTTGACGACTTAAACCTCAAAAGATACACTCTGCCAGTCTTACACTGAGGAACATGTTTAAATTCGCAATCATCAGGAAAGATAATTAAGTCCTGAAAAACATATAGTACTTTAGATCATGGTGCATGTTATTAATACAAATGGCAAATCAAGTGTGCAATAAAATAATTAAGAAGTATAGTTTCTCAGAGCACAAGATTGAACGGATTTTCCATTCACAAGATTTCTTTTTAATTTATTAAGAGTAAGAATAATCATCGTACGTCTTCAACTACACCGGTCGTTCGGTCTTTCCAGCAGAAATGCATTAATGAGTCGTCAGACTGATAGACATAGAGCTGGCCCTTCCGTGTATCCGGATAAACCATTTTTCCTTTCACGGTCATTTTACCAGCTTTAAATTCGACAAGGTTTTTCGAGGCACCGCGCGAAGCATTATTACCGAAAAGCGCACCGCTTGACATGTTTGCTAATATAAAAAGAAAATTGCCGTACAACGAGACTTTCCAACAGCCAATTCACTCCACTTGCTCCTACTTTACTTTACTTATGATACGGTGGGTGCGTTCAGATCTTCAGAGAGATTAGTACAATTGTGTCAATCTATCTTTGTCTTAAACCTAATAAACGATGAAGATAGAATGACACACACATGGCGCTAACAGCGACATCCCGAACGCACTCGATATGAGCATTATAAGACATGCCGATGACATTGCATTTGATTGCATTTCAAGATGGCGGTGCAAAACAAATTATCCTAGAGTCCCTAGAATACAGAATCCGGTAACTAGCAGACCTTTTTTCATTGGATCAGAGTCGCAGCTCCTAATAATGGCGGAACCAATCACCAATGTTTGTTTTGTATAACTGCAAAAGAGAATTATGGCTTCTGCACACTGGACGCGGAACCGCTTGGTAAAATGTGACGCGCTAGCCAATAAGCTTACAGCTCCTAACATGTTTATTGGTTATCGCATCGCATTTTGCCGCGCGACAAGCGTTTCTGCGTCCAGTGTGCAGGAGCTATATACTATATGCAAGAAATGCAGTTAAAATAACAAACTCGAAGTCATGACCTTTTCGGTTCGACCGGATTTACACTAAGGTTGAATTAATAACGTTTCGTGCTTTTCTATTGATAGATCGTGTAATGTCAACTCAAAGTATTTTCCTATTCCCAAATTGATGCAAACTCGGTAGGGCCAAAAACTCTATGGCCCGATTTTTCATTATCTGGTTAACTTGTGGTTAAGCTTAACCTGATTGTTTCACCCAATGAGCTTTATCCATGACATCACCATAGATGAAGCCCATTGGATAAAACATCAGGTTAAGCTTAACCATACTAGCCGTAATCTGTTAACTTATGCCGTAATCTGTAAAAATTGATCTTATTTTATCTCCTTATGTCCCATGGAGCAGTAATTCCGTAAAAGTTACCAGTTTTTACTAGTCTTAAACGTCCGATTAGTCCATTAGAATTGGCTAATCGCATCTATCGTCAAACGAAATGATAAATGCAATTGATCAATTCACAATGGTTACATTCAGCAGATCATTGGTGTATTCTTTTTTAAATTATCCAATAGCAGTTAGCGCTCACAGATCTGCTTAGCAACAGTTGAGGGTACGGTCCACTTTGGCGATACAAATACTTCGAAACTTTTGATTGATCAATCAAAAGATAGAATTCTATTAATTGATCAATCAAAAAATCTTCGAAGCATTTGTCACATCAAATTGGCCGTAATCTGAGGGTGCGGTTCATTTGACGCTACAAATGTTCGAAACTTTCGATTACCCAATCAGAAGAAATAATTTTACTAACTAACCAATCAAAAAATGCTTCGAAGCGTTCGTAGCATCAAATGGACCGTAGCCTTGAGTCTGTTGAACACGACCTATGGATCATCTTTCTAATTCCATTATACGTGCATGGATCCACATGTGATTCGAGTGTTGTTTAATGCCGGTGTCACTGCTATAGGTTAAATTAAAGTTCCTCAATATATCGGTTATATCAATCATTTTTTCAGTATTGTGACGTAATTGTTAAATAATTACAGTATGGTCGTGTTTACTTGCAACCATTGCGGCGATTCATTAAGAAAGCCCAAAGTGGCTATACATTACCAGCAGATATGCCGGAATGCACCCTTTGTAACCTGCGTGGATTGTCTGAAAGATTTTCGGTAAGAGTTAATTGATAAAGAAGTAGCTTTTTTCTCAATGTAAGGGCAATCAATCTCAGATTCTTCTGAATAAATATCTAAAATAAAATTTTCTTATTCCAAATTATTATGTTTGAAACACATCAATTTCAAAAGAATCAATGAGGACAGATCTTTCCTAAGAATTTAATAAGTTTTCAACATTAGTTGATATGTATCAGTAATTATATTAATATTTTTAACTTTAAGAGGTGATGAATACGTTGCACACACTAAATGTATAACAGAAGCTGAAAGATATGGCGCAAAACATTATGTTCCAAAACCTGGTGCAAACAAGGGTGAACGCAAGCAGCAAGAATGGATTAACATTGTTAATGATTTGCTGCATGGGACAATGGAACTGTCAAATGCAGAAAGGAACTTTCTGAATACTTTGTCAAAATATGAAAACATACCAAGAAAGAAAGCTAAATTTCTTAACTTTGTGCGCAATGCAATAGGTAATCGTGTAAATGCGACAGTTGTGGAGAGTACATGGAGCAAAATGGAGAATGCGCACAAGCAGAGTCAACAAGTAGTTACAAAGGCACCAAAGAAAGATCCTATACAAAATCAAGAGCAGAGTAAAGGTAAATGTTCTTATATAGATTTGTTTATTTAATGGAAGAATTTATGAGGCTCAACTCACTTATATCAAAATTCACTGTCAGTACTAAAGATGTACAGTTTATATTAATTATATACTATAATTTTCAGCACTGAAAGTAAATTTCAAAATATAATTTTTATAATAGGTCTAGTTTTTTTGTCATTGTGTTGGATTGCACTAAAACTTTCTATGTCGCTTTTGCCAGACTTTTCAGGGTATCAATCATGAAACTTTTTCCCTAGGATGAAAAGTGAAAAATTTCTCTATTAACTTCAATGGTAAAAATTTTCACTTTTTACTTTTCATCCTAGGGAAAAAGTTTTATGATCAATATCCAGATGTGTTAATTTTTTCTTTTTTTTCTCTAAAGTGAAGAAAAAAGAAAAAAGTGAATCATGAGAATTTCAGCTAAAAGAAAAACCTAGTATTATATATAATAAAGTATTTATAAAATACACACAAATCAAATATTTATTTTTTTTTATAGATGAGACAACACATACTCAAAAGGATTCTAACAATTCATTTGACAATCAGAATCTCGCAGAAAATCAAAATAATGAAAATATATGTAAAGAAAATAATTCTATGAGTCATCAAAATGAAAATGATAATGCATGCGAGATAACCAATGGTTACCTACATGAAACTCAAAATAAATCTAAAAAACGAAAATTGGAATTAACCAGCATTCAATCAGAAGATCAAACGGTTGCAAAAATTAATAAACAATCTAGTTCAGATAATGGAAACAATGTTGCTACATTCTATTGGAAGAAAACTATTTTAGATATTTTACAAATTAAGGGTGAAATTCCTTTAAAAAAACTACGAAATAAGGTTATAAAAAAATATATATGTTATGTTTTTAGCTTAAATGATGATACCTTTAAACTGACTGAATATGCAAAAGCTATTGCAAAGTTTGACAAAACAATGGAAAAGTTAAGAAAATCATCTGCAATATGTATTTTAAATAATAAAATTAAATTATTGTAGTTAAATTTATCTTTATACAAAGTCGGAAAATACAAAGTAAATTTATTTAATAAACATAAAAAATACATTTTACTTTATCATAGTAGTTTTTTTAATGTTTTTATAAAATGTATGACGGTAAATTAGTGCTGACATTTTTAATCTACATTAAATTTTTGTTTTGTAATTAAAATTATGCATAAATTTCATAATTATGTGTAGATGTATAAAAGTTTACAATAAAAATGACTGTTATTTCCTTTTTATTATATAAAAGTCTACTTTTTAAATACATATACAGTTATGACAAATTTATTTCTTACAGTAAATACTTTTAAGTCGGCAGCATACATTTGTTTTCCTGCTAGATTGTTGCTGGTCTGTTAGCTAGATTAGAAACTTGTCACTGTATTGACTGCGGTATTGTTAGCGCCAACATCGCAGTATAAGTGATAAAATCGATGGTAAAATTCTAGCAGGGGAAAACAAGCATTGTATACCGCCGCCTTAGGACAGCTATTGGAAGATATGTGATCTTATTACATACATGAGCACATACATTGATATTCTTTAAAACACGAATCTTTTATAAACAGAATTTAATATATACAACCTTAATTTTCTCTCAATATATTGACATCAAGTGATTCTTGATTAATGTGAATCAGATGGAAAGTCATGCAAGAATTTTTCAGAATACCACGCATGATCGCTCATAGTCGCTAAGAGACCCTTTGTAAGTACTTTGGCGTCATTAGTTCCAAAATAGATTGGTTGTTGATCGTATAACTGTGTCACTGTTCCTCCCAAAGCACTACAAGAAATAAATAAATAACAAGTACTAGGTAGTATTAATAAAAAATACTTAAATTATAAATACCTGAGAATTGCAGTGCCTGCACATATATCCCATTTCTTAATAGCAGTTGTATGAACATATGCTGTCGCATTACCAACAGCTACCTCCAAAAATTTGTATCCTAAAATGAAATGTTATCACGTGCAAAATTATCATTTGTGTCTTCACTTCTACTTATTAGTCTTTAATAGCAAATTATAGAAATAAAATTGTGCAATTGAAAAAACTTCACCTGCACCAGCAGCAGAAATAATTTTAGCGTTATCACCAAAGGCAATTTTAGATGTATTTTTTACTTGTCCAGCGTGTGAAAGAGATACAATTAAAATAGGTGTTTTATTGTCTTTTACCTGTTGAACAAAGATTAGCTAAATAATGTTTCAAAATTGATTATAACTTTTTTTGTTAAATTACCTTGGGCAAATTTTTCAAGTTTCTTGATACACCATGATTGCTCCATGTCCAGAATAAACTATAATTTTGTTTTGTCTCAAACGGTTTATATATAACACCAATAATTGGTTGTCCTTTGACGGCTATGCATACCATAGTAGATACATATTGCAGTAAATTTTCTAAAAACATAAGGCATCATGCAAAAACTGTCAAACATGACTTATAAAAGCTACATCGAGCTAAAAGTATAAAATGTCCCAGAACCACTGAATAATTAAAAAAAAAAAGAATTTGATGGACCTGGAATATCTGGTACAAAATTTTGATGAACCACTCAATAGTTTTCTAAAATTTCTTTATATGTCAAATTACTGCACCTACGTATTAAAATTATTTATTAAAGAATAAGCTTTACTCGCAATATTTTAATATTTCTGAGATTGTTCATAATCTTATAGTATTATGGAACTAGACATGAATATCTACATCATATTAAGTCCAAAAAATTACTTTTATTGTTTGATCCTGACAACAATCAATGCTTCTTCAACATCTAGCCAATAGATAGTCGTAACAATGTTAATTCCAAATTACAATTGCAGGTAATACATTTTCTTTGTACTCATTGTTTATAAATTTAATCTTTGGTTTAGCTTTCTTGTGAAATTTGTGACCAATTTATTGATTATAATATGAATATATTCAAACATAAAAATGCACAAATATTTTGCCATAAATAACCTGAAAAGTAATTTTGTTAGAACTACTCGAATTTATAATGGTAAAATTATACCTTTACCTGTGAATTCTTTAGTGGCATCTAGAGGATCTATCCAGATTGTTATATCATTCACATTTACAATATCGTCACTTATATCATAACCATCGATACTTTTAAAAGAATTCTTAATATCTTCAACTACAATTTTATCACAATCTTGCGATGTTTCTTCAGATATCACAGTAATCCCTGGGAATGCTTCTGTCAAAGAGCGATACATAGCGCAGTGAGATCTATAATCTGCTGCTGTTACTGGATCATTTATGCCTTTAAGGGAGATACAGAGAAGAAAAATCATTATATATCACTGTTTTATGTCAAAGTCCATCAAATTAGGAAAACAGATTATACAACATAGAAGCAACATAATGCAAGAATTAAAAATAGAAACATAATGGACTATTATCTAATATACCATCCATTACATATTAAATTATATATTAATAGTTACCTTCCTTTGTCTGACCTTTGCTCTCTATTTTAAATTTAATCTGATCGTGCACTGCTACTACTTGCAATCCCCCAATCTCTGCCGTTCTTATCGCAGCGGCAAGAAGCTGCTTTAGAGACACATCTTTATCATCCCTATGCCGGTTCATACAGAAATAAATAATGCCTAAAAAAATGAGCGCGCACAAAAGTATCTTTTGCGTACGCACACTCATTTCGCCGTTTATTGGCGAATTAATTTGTGACCAGTCAGTTGTGAAACAACAAGATTTACAGTGCGACTTGGCAAGCCTTCAAATATGAAGCCTGTAAAAATAAACACACGATATAATGCTTACAATCTTTCATATAAAATGTTTTCTATACACACATGTCTATATACATACATACACCCACTCACGCGTATGTGTTTGTGCATGTACATACATGACAATAAAGAAATAAAATCAATGCTTGTTAAATAAAAAAAAATCAATACTTATGAAACTCACTAATTGTACACACACACATATGTAATATTAGTAAGTTTAAACATCTATTGTATAACTTCATTAAAAAATGTTCATCATAAAGATCATAAAAGAATTAAAAAGCAATGCTTTTTTTCACTGACACAGCGTGATTTTTTCATAACCTCTTCTACTTTACGAACATATATGAGATTCAAACACGGGATAACGTTAATACAAACATGATTTGCAATAAATTTGTTTTAAATATTTATTCCAGATGGATTCTTTTTTTCTGCAGAACGAAAAAATCAAAAAGTTTCCTCCGTAAATATAATCTTTTTTTTTGTTAATTCTTATGGATAATCAATCGCAGTAAAGAAAACTATATTTTCGCTATTCTTGATCACACAGTAATTTATAAGAGATAAACAAAAGACAAACAAGAGTATATTTACTTTGATTGCACTTTTATATTTTGTTTACATTTTTTTTCTTTCTCTACATATGAGTCTATTTCGGTTTACATTCAGAAAATGTGATGGCTAAAATGATCAGACCAACATTTAATCGTTGCTTAAAAACTGGACATAATGGTTCATAAACATATATGTGTTCTCTGCGCTCTTATATTCTACTGTTTTGTTACTTCAAATAAATAAATATGTATTTTAAAGGATTATTTAGGCAAACTTACTAATAAGTATCTACCAATATTCAGATTTTACGCACAAATTCTAATATCTATACCGTTCATCTTTAAATATGCTAAAATTTATGATCTCGATGTTTTGCAGATTTCTCGAGAAATCTACAAAACATCGAGATCATATGACATTTTCAATATCTACCTACTTCCGAATTTCTTCCTTCGATGTCTTTCCTATATCTTTTTCTGAATTTTTTTCTTGACGCTTTTCCTATATTTTTCAAGTTTTGATTTATCCAACCTTAGAGAATCAGAATTACTGTGAGATGAAGAGGGATGGGGGAAGCAATTGTGGGATTCTCATTTGAGAATCAACCAAGCTGTGACTATGAATACATGACAGATTTTCAGATAAGAGGAAAAAGAATCAAAGGAAAGTGGACAGACAAAAGAAGCGACAAACGAACAAAGTGGACTTACCGAAGGAAAAGCTGGATGAGAGGATCAAGACTTGATACACCACGTGTTCGATCTTTCTTTCTTTCTCTCTCTCTATCATGCGTCTTCAAAATGCGCAATTGCGTTCTGCTGGAGCAGAAATCCATTATGTTTGTACACACACATGTATATATACACACATATATATATATGTACATATATATATGCATGATATGCACATATACAAGTACACTATTAAAGGGGTAGATTAAAGCCGGGAGATACCTTCTGCGCAACATGCGCGCGTCTTTCGGAGATTGACGCGGAATCAGAAGGGACAGGTGAAAGGACTGGGAGATGAGGAACGCAGGAGGAATCCGTAATATCGTACGAACAATTAAAGGAAGAATGCAACAGAGTCTCCGGCTTTCAGGATGTTAGGGTTCCATCTCGCTTCTCGAAATATTATACATTTTGTCTCATAGAGAAGACACGTGTGAATTACGATCGTTACCCTGGCAAAATTGTCTTAATTTGAGAGTCTACTTTGGTATCTCTGTGTCATCATAGTGAAACTGAATTTCGTTATTTGCAGATATTTTTCTGTAATAAATTGAAATGAATTAAACATAATTCTTGTCATTTGTACATATATAATTATATGTTATAAAACATACTTGTTTTTTAATTATATCATAAGTTATATAATTACATCATAAAATGTTTTTTTTTTTAACAAAAAGGCTTTAAAATAAAAAAACCAGTTTTTGTGACATCTTTTTAGGAATAAAACATTAAAGAAAAAAAACATGATTTAAAAAATTTAACTTTATTAAATTTTTCTTTCAATAGCCTTTTTTACCAATGTATAGACTACAACTTTAATTTCGATTTAAATTATAGAGCTTACTGGATTAGAAGGTTTCTAAGTTAAACCACGGATATAAAAAAAAAAAACAAATTAAATGTTTACAGATACTTAGTATTGTTCTATAGCTGTTGTTTGGCAAAGCGTATATGAGACCACATTTACAATAACCGCCCAAGCTGTATTACAGATCAAGTTCGTTGCGACAGTCAATCTGAAACGTCAATTTTAATATTAACGGATCAGATTGGCTGCGTTTAACAGAAAAAGCAGCTTTGCAACTATAATTGTAATATTCTTTAATATGATTGGTCTTACCCTTAGTTCCTCACTGGATTTAAATGTATAAACCAATCATATTGAAGAATTTTACACAGTGGCAAAGCTGCTTTTTCTGCTGAACGTAGCCATTGGCTGTCGCAACAAGCTTGCGACTTTTGTAAGTGAGGCCTGAAGTATATGTTGTATCAATTTATCCTTATTGTTCATTGAATGTTAAACAAAGATAAAATGACAACTGAACATATAGCTCTGACAGTCGCGTTTATGGCCAATATTTCTAGTCTTATATTCAGCTAGCCTTAAGTTCAGTCTTGAAGTGTCACGAACCACTCAGATGGCCGCATTAACATCTTAAGATACATTACTCAAGCAATCTTAAAATAAAAATTGACTATGAAAATACCAGCCTATTATATGTGATACATACCGATACATTTATATATGTGTATCAAAGTCAGCAACTTTATTCCTTTCTGCACATTCAATCATTACGATGATTTATAATCATAAATGATGCTGCATTTCTAGAAATTCTTTGTCTGATCTTTTTCTGCCTGTTTTTCATTTTTTGTGATTATAATTTATGGCACTTGTGATTAGACTTTAACCTGATAATGTAAAATTTGTATTTTTTAGCTATGATTAATCACTTTTAAATAAATTACAAGAGGTCTTCTATTAAAAAGTTTTATTTTAAATTAATAAAAAATAAATAAGAGATTTGAAAACGCGTTGAGATATATTTATTCTAATCCAACTATAGATTGTGCGATTAAACGTAGAACACAATATTAGCCAAATGCGGCCGTTTCGACTTTTCTCACAAATGGTCATTCTTTTGAAAAAATTTTTCATTACATTTTCGCATAATTACAGCTCAATTTTGCAGTTCGAATATTGTCTTTGAGCACCTGAATAGTTTACGGAGCATTTGTTTTATTCTTTACATAATTCCAAAGGAAAAAAATCCAGCGAGTGATCAAATCACACAATATATATGGGCGGCTAATTACTAAAATTTCCATTACGCAAAATGCACGTCCAGGGAACTCTCCGCGAAATTTTTACCGTGTTTGTAATATAGAATTTTCACTATTTCTATATGTTGTTTAAGCGAATATATCAATATCCATAGTATTATTAATCGCATAGTTTTTCACTCGACAACTGTCAAATATCTGACAAAAACTTCATTTATGACAGATACAAAATGCCGCAAAATTTAAAATAAAATTTCTTATGCCCGTTTCCATCAATGTAGATTAACTTTAATCTCGGTTTAACTTACTGCGTTCATCTCTTTCTAATTTTTAGAATTAGAAAAAGACGAGAAGAGCAAATTGAATCGATATTAAAGTTAATCTACATTGGTGGAAATGGACGTTAATTGGAAACCTTTACCATCATAGAACTGTCAGTTTAATGATTAATCATAATTAGGAAAAACAAATTCTTACATTAGGCTTGTGTTCGTTTTTTCCGCGTTGTGCCCACGGTGCAATAAACAGATATGTTTGTTTCATTTCAATAACTTATTACACTGTGTGCATCAGTTCAGACAGTGTGGAGAAAAAGAACAGGCCTATTATTATTAAATAAAGTTAAGTCAAATCGACAAAAAGTAACTAAAAAAATTAAAAACCGAGTTACATAAGTATACATGTATAGTGTTCCTATTTCCTAAATAGAGTCTCACTATCTTTTTGGTTAGAGACTTTTGGTTGTCTCATTCTCTTACTGAATGTCTTTCTTTCTCCTCCATTTTTCTTTACTTGTTTGATTGCTTCCCGCGAAAAAACGTTAGCTAACATATGAGATCTGTTCTTTTTGACTGAACTTTTACACCAGTTTATCTTTTTTCCTTTTCTCTCCAGGAGAAGAGAAAAGGAAAAATGATGAACTGGTGCAAAAGTTCAGTGGAAAAAAAAAACAGGTTTATAGAAGGGATGAAATACACCAGCCACGCGAGCGCCTTCGTGAACTTCGGTTGGCGCGTGAAGCTGCGTACTCGAAAACAAACGCGGTTCTGTACTTTTATTTGTCGGACTTGAAGCACTGAAGTCGACTGTGAGGCTGTAAACACAATGAAACTTGCAAACGTTTCTGAGTGTATGGAAAAGGAACGGTAGACGATTTCCTTGGTCGGTATCGGTGAGAAACGACCGATACCCAAAGTCTCCCCCACCTTGCCCTAAAGTAGAACATTCGGAGTGTCTGGGAATCGTGCAGACGGTGCAGCGTACATATGCTTACAGTATACGGACATTATACAATACAGGTACATTTGTGCTCAGGACGGAATAATCTTCCAATTTTTGACGCGGAAAAGAATTACTTGTTCTCTCTCTTTCTCTCTACTTTCCTTTCACTCCCTTCTCTCTGTTAGGAGAGCACCGCAGTAAGCTCTGGAGGCTTCGAAGTGCCGGTGAGCGTCGGACATATTCGCTCTCCTCCATCAACGAAAACTTTCATCCAGGTGTGGAAATCAGCGCGAACGGAACGAATTGGGAAGTGGACGAGCATTACGAGGAGAGTCGCGCCGGTTCGCGCGCATGGTGTGAGATGAATAGTCATCGGTAATCGGACTGCTGCATGGAAAACAGGAAAAGAAAAGGAGATAGACGCGACGAGATGGCCGCGACCTCGAGTGCGACCTTTCAGAAAATGCTGAAGGCGTTGCAAGATAATGACAATGCCAGGGGGAAGCGGGAGGCTTTGTTTTACATTACCAGGTAAAATAGTATAACATGTTTTAAGAGAGACAAGGTAGTGTAACCAGGTATCACGATGAGATCTCCACGTTCGACACACGAGGTGAACGTTGTGATCAGGATGAATGAGGCAACAATCATTCAGTTAATTATAAAAATTGTGGACATCACGTCTGATTCTGGCTGCTTACCTTTCAAAAAAACACAGTGACACAAAAATGTCATTCTACCTTTGTTGTTTATTGAATACTAAGATTCTAGAACTGTGTTCATATGTCAACCATGTTCACCATGTTTCCTAAAAGAAAAATAGCCTTTATTACGTTCATATTTTCTGCACCTTGTTTCACCTCGTGATAGTCAGAATTCAAGAGAAGAAAGGAAAATTTGCAAGAAAATTCATAGGAAAGGAAGAAGAAAAAAGTTAAAGGTTTTATTAACAATATTAATTAAAATATAAAATTAAAAAATACAAATTTTTAATATTCACTATAAATTTACTAGGAAAGATTTATCTAATTTAATCAAAAATAGAACGCAATAGCATTGCATTACTTAGAAATACATTATATATATTATGCATTTGTATTATTAAATAAAGATATTGAGAATATATTTGCATGTATGTATGTGGTAAAAAATATTGTCCTTAATCTTGCAATAAAGATCCTACATTTACTTTATAGTCACGCTAGAAAATTAGAGACCAGTGGTATTATTAAAGAAGAATGGTACAAGGATTTGTTAAGACTGATTATAGAATCATTCTTAAAGAGCGATGGAACCGATCAACCTGAGGCATTGACAGCATTCAATACCATTATGTATGAGTTTCGTGCACACTCTTTAAATCTTTTTGAATCAATGCTACAAACTAATTTAAAGATAAGGTTTGTCTAGTTAAATTTGTCATAAACATTTATATACATTATATAACATAACAAAGTTTTAATCTCTCCCTTGATTTTAGATTAATGATATTTGCACAGTTAAAGGGACTAGATGACAATGTTATTTCTGCAGCTGTTAATGATGGACAAGCTCTAAATTTTTTTAAGAGCTGCTTCATTAATGTACAGCCTACTTTAATGGAATGGTTAACACCAACAGCATGTGTGGATAACTTGCAAATGTTGATAAAGATTGAAAAACAGATTGAAGACTCAAATGAACCTAAGCCAGAGGAAGAAGTAAATTATGGTGCACTTGCTCTTTTGAGAAGATTGTACAGAATGGCTTCTATAACGTTTGATCAAAGTATTCAAAAGGTATATGCACAATTGTGTTATAAACAATGTTTGAAGTTACATTCAGGATTAGAAATGTTCGTTTTTTTTTTTTTAGTTTGACACATTACTGATGGATAAGGTTGTAACGTTGGCCTATATGGGACACAAGCACCAGCGTGGTCCTGCTTTGAAACTTTTGCAACAAGCTCTTACAACTAATTCGTCAGCTCATATTCGTAAAGAGTATCCTGATGTATGGGCACAATATAAGACTAATTTACAATCTGCATATTACAAACGCATGTTGCTATTAGTAATGGCATGTGAACTCGATTGGACTATACAATGGAATACTACTATTCAGTTCCTTGGCACAGATCTACATCGTGGTGCCAGCCTTATAAATAATTTACTGAGTGTTGAGGAAAAGGCCTTTAAGTCTACTGATCCTGTTATACGCAGGTGAAATTGCAACTCTGCAATTAAATCCTAATGATTAATTATCTATGACAAACTAATCAATTTTCTATTTTATTCCAGACAAGCTTTCCTTTCATGGAGATTGTTGATTGACAATTTTGCTTTAGATCATCAAGAACTTGCTACTACCAGAAGAATAAAATTACTTTGTATTCCATTAAATGCAAAGAATAGTAAAACAGAGTTGATTGCATTGACAAAACTAGAAGTTTGGTGGCATTTAATTGTTAAATTGTATAGAGATATTGGGAAATTTGCTAATCCCGTTATTACACAATTTTTAAATTATTGCTTTGGACCACTTGGGGATACACCACTGCTTTCTTCCAAATTTGATGTTGTTGCTTCTCCAGGCAAAAGATTTTTTAAAACAAAAGCGATTGCTGTGGATGCTTTGGGTCAATTACTTGTCGCAAAGGAAGATCTTGCTACAGTTTGCTCTCCGATGTTAGAAGAAAGACTTCCACATGCTATATCTTATGATGTGTTTCGAGAATGTTCCAAAAGCATTATTCATAGTATAGCAGAGGTCCTGCTTATTCTTGCCCAAATTACAGATAAAGAAATGAAATATCGTTTTCAGCTTGGTAAAACATTATGGACAAGTTTGATGATATATATAGGAACTGTTAAACTTACAACAAAGGTTAATTAATATATACTTAACTTTTCTATTCTTATGATATAAAGGACATGTGTATAAAATAGGAATTTTTATTATTATTTTATATATTGAATTTTACAGGACCATTTGTATAGAGATGTGATAATAGTTGTAACTGAATTGGGAAACCATATAGATAAACTCATGGTGAAGGATATAATATTTGATGTAATTTTGCCAAGTCTTAATTGCATTATCGAGAAAACTGAATTTCATGATAATGCATTGCCAGAACTGGTATTAAAATTTTTATCGCCGCCAATACTCGACGAAGTGGTGTCATGTATCTTATTCAAGTAATTTAAATTGTTATTTAATATGTTTATATGTAATGCATAATTTTATATTATGTAAAACGCTTATATATTTGTATTATAGGAATTATGACAGTAATACAATCAAGTGCCTTCTGGAGCGATGTGTTAGTTCAGAATTTTCATATTCTTCAGGTGTGCTTGGGTTTTTGGAAACAATAATGGAAAATTTGAAATCAATAAATATTGTCTCTAACAAAAAGTAAGTTTAAATAGGTTTAATAATATATTTAATTGTTTTAATTATCAATGTGTTTCAATAATATATTTAATTGTTTAATCAACAATGTTTCAGGGGTCTTAAAGAAACAATTTGCTTAGAATTATGGTCTATAATAGCAGAAATTTTGACAAAATACATAAGAAGCACTGAAATCAATGGTGAAGATACCTTTAAAATTATGAAATCAGTTTTGTCATTTCCTATATGTCTGGAAGATATTTCGCAGGTTTGTATCATTTTAAATGTTTTCTTTTAGTACTATACATTTAATTGCTGTAACTACTTTTTATATATTAATAGGTTCAGATCAATAAACCTGTAATGGTATGGAAAACTATGTACAAAGAAGTTGAATTGCATTCGGATTTAATAACTACAATGAAACCAAATGAAATTTTACTCGATACTGCAAACATGATGCGGAATTGTTTAAGTAAAAACATGAAATGTTGTATTTTTGTTGTAAACTGTTTAGACATCTTATTGAGTACAGTTAATTACGAGTTCTTGTTGAGTATGTAGAATAAGTTATAATTTTATGTAAAAATTAATTATGATGCTCAGAACATGATACTATATATTTTTGTATAATTTGTTTTAGCTCAAGATGAAATTCCATCCATTTTACAATTAATAATAGACATCATAACAGTTTCTGTTGATGTACACCTTCGTAACACCATAATCGCTTTGAAAGCATTAACAGCTTTACTTAGTACCGTATATGGACATAATGTGCAAAGAATAGTGTCATATCTGTATAGTTGTAAATCAGTGATGGAACTTATACTTTCATCGAAAATAGTGCTCTTAGTTAATGAAGTACGACATTAATATTTTTTACTAAACATTTGATTTTTATATTATCTGGTTATTTATTTCTGACAATTTTATTTGTAGGTTGTAGTCACATGGGAAAGCGTTGTTAGTATTTTCAAAGGACTTAAAAAGTTAGATCATGAATTCTTATTGTCGTACAAAAACGCAATTGGAATAGCCTTGAATCATACTAATTTCAAGATAAAACATGCAACACTATCTATTTTTGAAATTAGAGACCACTTGGACAGTGCCGCTAAATGTGTTTTAGATGAAATAAAAACACTAAATGAAAAACGTTATAGACTGATACTACCAAAGACTGATACGAAGCAAAAGACACAGACAGGAAAAACAAAGGAGATGCACATAGCTGGGAGTTTTTTGAATAGAAAGTCAGTTATTACAAAATCAGTATCCAATAAATCACCTGAAAAGAGTGATAAAAATACGCCTGTAGTACCTGAACCTGACTCGCAAGTAAATAATATTTTTTATTTTACATTATAAATGTTCTTATATTTATTTAGCTAATATTTTTTATATTTTCAAATTTGTTATAGGATTATGTGTACATACAAACAGATCTAAAGTTTGATGTTAATCGCTTGACTGAGCATCAAAAAGAAAGTTTGAAGAGGAAAAGGGATGATATACCGGCATTATATAACGATCTTTCTCAATCATCTTCGCAAAATTCTCAAAACTTGCAACAATGGTTTGATATCAAAGCCAAAGAAATTAATGAAATTGATAAAGTCAATAATAAAAAGACCGACTCTACAATGCAAAAACCCAATGATAATGATGCTAACAAGGAAAACAAGGTTACAACTAAAGAAGTAGAACTTCCTAATACAACAGACGAAAGAGTTGATAATATTTGTAGTAACGAGTTGGACGGAAATATTAAAAAAAATACTGTTGATGAAAATACTGAGCAAAACGAAAATGTAACGAAAAAATTAAAAACCGACGAATCTAACGAAAAGCAGAATACATTAAAACAAACGAATTTGTCTTCACACATAGCATCTACCAATGAAAAAAATACTACATCAAAAGTAGACGAAGATGGAGATGCTACAATGGCAATAGTATCTGTTACAAAAAAGTTGAATTCTGAATCTCGGAATGAGTTTCCCGAAGATGATAAAATGCATGAACAATCATCTCTGACGTCAGACAATACTAAACGACAAAATCGTAATAGTACAACAAAATCGACTTCGTTAAAAAACGATGAAACTACTGAAACTCAAAAAGATGCAAGTATAACAAATATACAAAGAACAAGAGTGAAAACTACTCAAGGGAAACTTGATACAAATAGAAAACAGAAGTCAGATGATAACATTGATATTAAGGAAAATGTTAATGAAAATAAAAAAGGCATTAAACGTAAATTTGTGGCGGATACTGAATCAGATACTGGAAATGTTCAACGTAGGAAACGAAAATTAATTATATCTAAAAACGATTATGATGGTGAATCATCGAGAAGTAATGACATTTTTCCAAACATAAAAATGGATAATGTGAGTCAACGTGTGAAAAACGAAATATCTCGTTTAAAGATCGATATGGTATTTGACTGTCATGCAATAAATCGCCGTCGAGTCAAACATTCAAATGAAGGTAAAACATTAGGATTAAGGAAATATAGCACACCTGATAATAAGAACTTCAAGTTGAAATCCGTGGATGCAAAATCTGCGGACGGATCAAAGAGATCTCCAAAAACGCCAGAAAAAAATACAAAAAATATAGATGATCAAGTTGTCAAGAGACGAGGTAGACGAAGCAAACAAGAGCTTAATAAAAATGATTTGGCCATTAATAAAAATATTAATATAGAAGTTAACAAAGACATTAATAAAGACGTTAATAAAGACAAGGATGTTAACAAGTCTAATGATATTGTTAATAAGGTACCTGAATTGAAAAATACTGACACAGGTGTGTCTTGTTATGTTTCGACATCCAGTCAAATTAATATTAGTGAAACTAAGAAACATGATATTAGTGAAAATGAAAAACGTAAAAATAATTTAAAATGTAATTCAGATGTGAGTCATGCGAAACTTATTGAATCTAGTGAACAGAGTCAAGATGAAATCGAAGATGTTATCGAGAGTTCGCAAGCTCCTGACATTAGCGTAAAATTAGATAAAATATATGGCGAAAAACAGTGTTTTATCAGGATTGATAAAATGACAAATGTTCACGCTGCTAAAATTTCTGATACGATTGTTGATAAAAATTATGTACCTGAATCAGTTCCCATGGATTGCGGTGACAATGATATATCTGATGCAGGTGAAAAATTAGAGGAAGCTAATCCTGACAGTAAGAGGGAGACGAAAAACAAAGAAAACATAAATAGCATAGATGAAGACTTGATTGAAAAAACTGATAATTCTAATACAAAGAGTTTAATTTTAGAAGATCAGAAAACAATCGACAACTCATCATCGATTAAATCCACGAGTATAATTACCTTTTCTTCGCCAAGAAGCAATAGCAAAATATTTTCTAAGCCGAAACCTTTCACAGGACGTGCTGCTCATATGCTGGGTTTAGTTACGAATCAGGTGCGACTCGAGAGTGATAATCCTACTGTATTAGAGGATGAATCGTCCATAAAGAAATTAAAAATGAAAGACACAGAGAATGAAACATCAACAAATAAAAAGATATCAGTGATTAAAGAAATAGATAAAATAGGTGGGCCTTCTGGTAGTCGGCAAGAAAAGATTTTCAGCAATATGAGATCGACTGATTACTCCGCATCTTTATCAACACACACGTTCACTACTTTGAAAAACGATGGAGAAAAGCTTTCATTTAAATTGAACGCACCAGACTGTTTATCGACGGAAAATTTAGGTGATAAAGAAAATGAAAGGAATGTATCTCTATTGCGTGAAAAGGAGGATTTACCAATACTGGAATGGTCAAGCGCTAATCCACCTTCTTTAACCGCATCGCCGAGTGCTAGTATTCTTAAACGTAATCGGTCAAGCCTACCAGATTCTAAATCTGGTCAAGAATCAGATTCAGATATTTCAACTTTTAAGGTATTTTTTGTACAGTTTACATTATTATACATTGTATTTTGTAAAGAGTAAACTAAATTAAAGATTGTTTTTATCTCATATTTCATCTTTATTTTGTATCTTATATTTTAACTTTTTATTAAAATTATAGATTTATAAAATATATTTGGATATTTTTTTAGTTACAGCGAAAGCGAGTTAGTTTTGCAGATCCACCGGTGTCAAAAGAAATGGGCTACGAGATCACTACTGTGCAAAAGACGATTAAATATTCCATGACACGTAGTCCCACGTCGAAAAAGGATTCCCCGATTAAGTTCAAGCAAACCAAACATAAACTTGTACCACTTGATATAGAGAAAATAAATGAAGATGATATGCAGGATGAAAACAGCACTGAAAGTGTGGAGGTCGAGAAACAGGATGAATCACTGACAAAAATATCTGAAATGTATTCAGAAGCTATGGGTATTGATGAGCAAATATCTGATAATTCTCTAGGAAGTAGTAATATTATTGAAACGAGTTCCTGTGCGAAAATCGATGTTATCAAAGAATTAGAACTAGCGCGGAAAATTGAGATTACGGACCCAATTATCTCAGAAAATCAACGATCTTTATTGTCTGAAAATTCTGATAATACTTCGCCAATAGATGGCGGAACGGAAGATACTGAAACGCAGCAAGATATTTTTGACGTGATAGGTGCAAAGATTGATGTCATGATAAATGATCAGACGAATAACGATCAGACGAGTAACGACATAAATACGATCATCCAGAATAAATCGGTAGATTCTATCAAACTGAATGTAACTAATGACTCTGTGATAGAGGCTTTACCCATCAAAGGTGATAATCCGATAAATATGGAGGACACTGTAGACGTCCAGAATATTACCGAATTAAATTCCACTGTAAATGCAGACGAGATATTCTGTGAAAAACCGATACGTAGTAGTACGCAAGCGATAGAAAACGTGGCGGAACAAGATACTTTATCAGTAACGGACTCCATATTTGAAAGTTTATCCTCAACACAAAACGTTCAAAACCAAGAGTCTCCCAATAATGTAGAACTTGATCCTGAATTTTTGGATTCCACACATTCGATCTATCCAACACTATCATCATGCATGGAACCTATTGACACTATCATAGAACGATTGACTTATCCTCTTTGGAAGAATAATCTAATTACATACTTTTCGAATAGAAATATGCATACAATTGGTGATTTTGCTCGGTTATCAGAACGCGAAGTTGACAGAATACCTGTGAAAGGTAAACCAAAAACTGAATTTGTGAAGAAAGTATTGGAGAAGTTTGAAAGTATGTATAAGCTGCAAATAGAACCTTCCAATAATAAATCAAATGAAGTGGAGCAATTGCCTAATAAGGCGATGGACAAAGAGCCAACTGTACTAATCGCTGCGGTATCTGATGGTGAAACAGGATCTGCGATAATTAACAATGACTCCTTAATTTGTAGTACGCTACTTCAGCCCACCGAGGATATCTTGGATAATCTATCAAGAGAGGATTCTACAGAAGATTCGGATAAAACGGAGTCGATCACTAGTGATATGGATATTTCACTGGAATCTGTGGTTCCAGATAATCCTGATTTGTCAGTCTTAGATACTTTTAAGAAGGATGAACAAACAAACGCAAAGATACCCATTAATGCTGAAATTTCAAAGCTTGAAACGTTTATAGGTAATACCGAATCTGTGCTCATTCCTTCATCATCCACTGAAAGCATGTACGTCATATTTTACATTCTTATTTTATAAATATTATAAGACATAACATTTTAGAAAATGGACAATTTAAAATATAAAAAATTATTATATTTCTTTAAGTGGAATTACGAGTCAAGTAGCATCATCTTCAAATGTTAGCTTGGACACACCAAAAGATTCTACCGTATCTTCAAGTGCAGTTAACGAACTTTTAATCACACATTCTTCCATTGGTACCAGTACCGACGAAGTCGGTTCCACTACGTCGACTATTCAAAAATCTACGAAATCTGTTGCATCTCAAATGACGCTTGCAGAATTGCTGGACGAAATCGACTTAAATCAGGTGATGAAAAGTGCAGTTAGAAGATGCAGTCCCGAAGCAATTCTTCTGCAATATAAGGTAAATTTTATTTTTCCCATATTGATTGTACCAATTGTTCATCAAATAAACAGTAAATTAACTTCCAGGTGAAGATGGCACATTTAAAGGAGGGAGAACTGTTGAAGGAAACGCTCAAAATACTCGGCTTGCAGAATAAACAACAAGTCAATGAAGCATCGTTAAAAGCAGCCTGTCGTGCGTGTGGCGTTAATAAAGTCCTTCTTAAATTGCCTGATATTTTTAGTCATGACGAACAATTTTTTGATAAAGTGCTTAAGGTATATAACAAGAAGCTTAATCTAGCCGAGGGTCTGAACAATTTAGACTTTGATCAATTAAAAAGCGCAATTTATCAAAAATGCAAGTCGTTCCAAATTATTGAAATACTGTTGGAGAAGCTGAAGCAGGAGGAACAAGAAGGTATCAAGCGATCCATGCCAGAATCGAGTTTGAATGCTATGTTACAAAGTTTGCCGATGGACGTGATCATTAGTCATACTGTAGCGAATGAAGAACTTATTCCTGCGTCAGTAGTTCTCGACATTGCTTTACAGAACAACAGCTCAGAAAATATAGCGAAAGCGCTAAAACAATCTCCCGTTATGACTAAACACGTTCTAGACGAACTGTGGACATCCCAATTCACAATCTCGCATATCGAAAATGATGACTTACCCAAAGAAAGTCTACTCAATATTTTTAAGAGCATATGCTCTAAATTAACTGCGCAAGAATTGCTAAATACGTACCATGAGGCTATGGCGAATAAGCTTACCGAACTGAAGAATACAAAGGATCTTAGAGATGAGAAAGAATAAATTGAAATCAACAGATATTCCAGTTTTAGTGTTAGTATCAAATAATATACTAATGTTTGTACAAATATTAATGCTTCTCATCCAGAAACTATACATGTAATTTTTATGCATATCTATTTATTTTATTTCTAAGACTCGTCACTCGAGTCTAAAACTGATTTTTATTTGTGTAAACCACATAATATGGCTTGTCTGTGTCAATTTCTGTTTTATATCTTGTTATTATTGACTAATTTAATTGCTTTTACTTGCAAATATTTATCGATTTTATTATATGCACATTATATAACTTGTATTTTGATTGTAGCATATGTACATTACATATTGTATTATATCTCATAGTATCAAGTTATTTATTTTATTGCGTATAATTCTTACGATCAGGATAGAGGAGAGATATGTCATTAAATAAAACCGATTTGCTTATTTAGATTAGTCAATAAAATTATTTTAAAAAATTATATATATTTTTTAAGCCAGAGAAAATTTAGTTTTCTTGAATGCAAAAAATGCTTAATATTTAATATAATATTTTAATATTAATAATAATGTTAGGATGGTTTACTTTTTTTATCTATTTTATATTTTTTATATATCTTTTTATTGATTCTATTTTTTTTATTTCAGATTGCATTTCTTAGGCACAAGTAACATCTTTTTTAAGGAAAAAATTTGCCATTTCCAAGGATTGTAATACATTCAGTTGCATCATTTTTCATGAAAGATCTTTTCAGAATTTTAAATTATGTTATATAAAACAAGTAATGAACATCAGATATTTGCCAATTGATAATACGAGAGTTAAAAACTATTTTTGAATTAATTGTACTATAACTGCAGTACAACTTGTGTACATATACATATACATATACTTGCATTTAAAGATTTTTCGTTACTTTAATTAGATAAAGAAAGGGAGAAAGATCTGCTTAAAATGTAAGGAAGTGAATATAAAAAAAATAATATTCAGACATTTCCATTTTTTTTAAGTTTCTATTCCACAGTTACTTATATCAATACACTAATGGCAGTACAACTTCTTAATTTGTGGACTGTTAAGTGACTATAATTCATTTTTTAAAACATTTTTGTCAGCTTGCTAAAAGTGTAGCCATTATCTTAAATAATGTATGATACCACATGGTTCCTAAATTAATATAGTTATTGCCATTCTTACATGTAAGTATTCTATAAAACCAAATGTGTAATTATCAGTAATTATTTATTCTTTAGACAATATATATTTTCTCGTCTGAGTTATGAAATATATGAAAAATTTATATATATAGCATATTCTTTTTTATTATTACTACGGTAAATATTTCCGTTGTTTTTGTATGTGTCATAGGAAAAAAGTTATTTGCTTGAAAAGAGTAAGTTGTGATTAACGAAATCTTTTCACACAATTAATAAAAGGACGTTCTATATCCTATAGAAATATCAGAAACGTCTTATTTAATGCATTTCACGTTGCTGCATTAATTTACATTACATTAGATTCTGTACACTTAATAGATATAATTTATATCTTTAGCAAACAATTATTGATAAATTTAAAAAAAGATTTTTTACAATGTAATAATTCTATAAAAATAATGTATTTCGTGAGATCGAGTTTAGTTTTAACGCTTACTTTAATTTTAAAATAATTAAAATAACTTTAATAGCTATAGATGATTAGTTAATCAATTTTTAAATCTTATATACTTTGTAAATATACATGTGTGTATGTATATCATTTATATTGATAAACGATCAATATATTCACTGATTAACATGCTTATGTGCGTTATCATTATACCTAATACACAAGCTTGGCAGATATCGAAGAAGTTTGTCAATAATTTATACAAGAGCATTGATAAAGTGAAATATATTGATTAATTAGCTTGAGGATAAAATATGATATCTTGTAGTATTAACTATATCTGTGATTGAAAATACACGCAGTTCTAATGATTAATTCTAACAATTATACGATCTGTTAATCGATAAATTAATATGAATGACAAATGTATTTTTCACTTCTTTGATTTTCATTATTGCAGTAACAGAAAACATAGAATGTAAGTATGTTAATAGTAAAGGAATGTAAATGTGTGTGCTATAATAATAAAATAATATTTTATACAAATTAAGTTAGAAAAGATTTTTCTTGTTTATTTTGCACTTAATATTTTAAATAAAAATGCACAAAGAAAATATTTTACGAAATGATTAAGTAACACAGTTTATGATTTATTTTTTAATATAACGCTTCAAACGATTTTATTTTATATTACATTTTTCGATTCAATAATGTCAGTTTAATATTGATTTAATAAGCATGATTAAAATCTTGCAAATATGGCGAAAAATATCTTACATGTAAAGTGATATTTTTTGCAATAAATTCTTTGCAGTGTTAGGTATCACATACATATATATATATATATATAATATAAATTATATACATAT